GTTGTATTAGAATATTTGTTATATGTTTTTTACGCCTAAACATCAACATAAGATTGGACATACAATTTCAAAAAGTGATTCGATTTTTTCGTAGGACGTATCATGTGATACCGGGCCGACTGTGTGTTTGTTTGGCTCCGCCTTTCAGAGAACAAAGTATATGTCTTGAAGGAGAGGCCCCCAAAGAATCCCACACTATAATCACGGTCGATCCCTATTACATGACGGTGATCTATCTACTTCATCTTTCAGAACTCGGGCCAAGTCTGCTTCAAATGTTTACGAAATGAGGAAGTCACTGGATGGCCGGGACATTGCTGTGTTTGCTCTGTCTATCAAGAACAGAGACTGAAATAGTTATAGCTGTCCCTGTCCACATGTAACAAAGATATTTGGATTAAAAAAGTATTTGAACAATCTGGACATGTCTGGTCTTACTGGTGGTAGTAGAATATCATGGTGCTTGGACACCGTGAACACCGGGCTTTTTCGCAGAGACTTCCCATGAATATGGAAGGGGTTTTGTCTCTCAACAGGACATAATCTAAGATCAGGACTACCTTCAACTGCCAACACTATTATTACGTGAAGCTGTTAGGGCAACTGCGTGAGAATATCAAATCTTAAAGTCGCGAGACACTCACTAACGCTGTATTGTTCCACCTGGTCAATGCATCTTTTCACAAATCTATTGTCGCCATGATTATAATGCATGATGGTGACTTTGAAGTAATTAAACATCCTCCGTATTTTGCAGATTTGCAACCAAATTTCGAAGCATTGTCTGGCAAACATTAGGCAAATGATGATGATCCCGTTTCTTCTGTGGAGGACATTTTCCACTACTAGGAGGAGGCCTTCTACCCCAGTCATCCGGGCACTACAACGTCGTTGGCAGAAGTGTGTGGGCCTTGGAGGGGAAAATGTACATGGTATTTGATTCGACACTGTTTCAACCGCCTCTCGTCAGCTAACTTCCCTCTGCCGGTCCTTTGTTCACAACCTTGTGCGCCTGTTTTAGTGGTTGGCCATTGTTACGTTTTATAGGCATATCCTACACCACGAGATCTTGTGGTTCAGTGAAATTGGACAGCAAATCGCTACATAAATCAAATTCTTCAACCTAACCTTCTTCCAATCATTGACCGCCAGAGGGACCTGTTTCAACAGGACAACGCTCCACCGCACACAGCTCGTGACTACCTTCATAATGCCAACATCAACGATTTGCCATGGCCGTCGAGATCTCAAGCCAATCGAACACCTCTGGGATGAACTCTATCATTTTAGACTGTTATGAACTACCCCAGTAAGTCAGACACAATGATAGCGCGTCCTAATACATTTACATCAAGTACACGACGCTAAAATGGCCTACACGATAAACGTGACAGGAGAGATTTCCGAACTGTGTGATGAACCTGTGGCTATTCAAGGTGTTAGTCATTGCTCATCAATTGGCCGATCGCTGAAAGGTGAAAGGATCTATCAAATAGTTAAATTCATAGATTGCTGTAGACTGTCACTGTAGTCTAGACAAGGTGAGATGAAATTGGGTTTAACGTCGCGTCCAAGATTATTGCACTTATATAGCGAGGTGCATGCATGCACGTGTGTGTGGCTGCTTGTACTAGTCCGGACTGATGCCGATTTATAGTGCTAGCACACTGAGATACCATGCCGCAGTTTAACATGAATACCTCACTCAGACACAATATACTGACTCCGAGCCGACCAGTCCTTGTTTTAACCCTTAAATGCCGAGCGCCAGACAGGGTAACAACAAGTACCATCTTTTAACGTCTTTTGGTATGACGCGGCCGGGGATCGAACTCCGGACCTTCCGCTCTCCGGGCGGACGCTCTACCTCTAGACCACGGAGGCGGTTTCTAGACAAGTTTGGATGTGATTTTCTTCGTTTGTTCTCTAAGAATGGTTGTACCGAGGATATCCTTGAACTGGCATGCAATCAGTCTCTGACTGTTCCCAGTGTATGCTAAAACGCTAAGTTCAAGATGAAAGGGTCTAAGCTATCAGAAACAACGCTTCTGTGTGTATTCGTGCTTGGGAACTCGCCGGCTTTTCCCCGGGAATGTGGAAGTAGTCCGTCAGTGTACACCTCGTGAGAAACGTATAAACGTATAAATGTGTCGTTTAACACTTATGAACTTCAGTTTCGCGGTCACATGACCCCTCTTCCAATGGAATAGCCGTATATCGTGTAACCTTCACATTGAAATAGTATATGCTTATAACGAACAACGGTTATAACGAACACAAATTAGTGGCCCCTTTGAGTTCGTTATAACCGTAGTTTACGATATACACTTATCCTTAACACAGGTTCAAAGACGGCACTTTGGTGTACATGTACTAAGAAATGACATGAGATGTGTATAGCCGGGGTGGTAGGCCCAAGTTTGATGTCTGCTCTATCCGCTTGTGTTGTCATAAAATGTGTTTTACCCCTGAACTATTATACTTAAAGCACGGGGACGCTTGGAAGGCGATACCTCATGGAGGCGCACATCCATTATATCAGGCTGGATAAACATCCCTAAGCCAATGCTAGTATACTATATCGCACAATGGCCTCCAGAAAAGCACACAGTGCATGACCTGTCATATCGTGTGCTGGATGATGTGTTGACACGCTCGGCCGACATGAGTCATCTCACGACATCAAAACTGTGCTGACCCTGATACATATAAGTGTAAACAGAACAGTTCAGAGAGCAGGCAATATTATCATTCTGGGGACGAACATCAAACCCTTTGATTAAAAAGATATTGCAAGACAAAAACACTCGAGATGAAGCCCTAGGTCGAAAAAATCCCTCACTCAAGCCATCTGGGATATTAGTACGTGAACTCATTCGAAGTCACAATTGTGATGACATTCAGCCTCCAGAAAGTCACTACAAAGGGTTACACCCTACCTGGACTTTAAAAACTCCCAAAGTTGACACTGCTTTAACATCAGAAGTCACTAAAAAGGAAAACCCAACCCTACTACGATCAGTAGCTATCACTAAAATTCAAACTACCTGGGACAGTTCGGCCCCTATATACAGTGATGGATCCAAGAATCCTATCGACAACAGTGCTGGTTACCGGATTTATATCCACAGCTCCAAACCCCAAGCACATTTAGTTCGCTTGCCTGATGGTCAGTCAGTGTTCACTGCTGAAATGGAGGCAAATTATCATGCACTCAAACTCATACCGGAACTTCCGGAAGCAAAGGCAGTCGTCCTATCAGACTCGCTAAGTGCACTTCAGGCCATCAGTGGCAGAAACTCAAACTCCAGGCCAAACACGGTCAACCAAGGGCAACAGGTGGAGCTGTGTTGGATCCCCTCTCACATAGATATTCATGGAAATGAAAAAGCAGACTCACTGGCGAAGCTAGCTCTAGACAAAGCGGATATAAAGCCTATTCCCTTTAGTAAACTAGAGATTAAAAGCAAAATCAAAGCCTCCATAGCAGAGAGATGGCAAGCCACATGGGGTGCAAGTAAGATCGGCAGATGGCTTTACAAAATTCAACCCAAGGTCCAACAAAAGTCAAACTCATACTCAAATGAAAGGAAAATTGAAATTGCTATCTCACGCCTCAGACTCGGTCACAAAAAGCACTAGGACAAGGTTTGTTCATCTTGCAATCAGGCTGAAACCATTGATCACGTGTTACTAGAATATCAAGACCATGCCCCAGCCCGGGCTAGGTTAAAACAAGAATTGCAGTTAGATCCGCTCTCCGTCTTAGATCTCCTGAAGCCAAGAGATGCAATAGCGAAGGCCAAACTAACTCTATTTCTGAGAGAAGGAGAGCTACTCGAACGTATATAAACAGAGCAGCCAAGGATAAAAATGAAATCATATCAATATACGAAAATGGAAATCATATTAATACAAAAACAGAAATTATGTGAACACCAAACTCACAATAGATAGGTGTACCCTACTCACACACAGGAGTCCCAAAGAGGGACAGGTCAGCCGAAATTGCTTAGGCAGAAGGCGAGCTCTTAATATAAACACTTAATGCAACAATAACAACAGTTCAATCAAGACAAGCATGTTTTCTACAACATGACCTACATCATCATCAACTTTGCTGTTTTTTGCTCTGACGAATGCTAACAATTATGCAGTGAAACTCGGCATATATTGTCGCCTGCGACAACATGTCCGTGAACGTTGCATATTTTGTCGCGGCGACAGTGAGAATTTCTGGACATTCCTGTGTACATTGACATATGTTATAGAGCTTGTAACGTATTGCTGCGGACGCTTATGTGACCCATAGTATTGTCTTACGTCATTGTAAATCGGAACCTGTATATATGATATAATATCGGTTTATTATTTACTGATCTTGTGATCATTTACTGATTTCGCAATTTAGTTTTTAACGAACCGAGTACGGGGTAATCTTTACGTTTCAAATTTGAAAACCACCTGGTCATATTAACACAGCAACGTCCTGAGATAACATAAAGAAGATTACAGGTAAATAGGCACCATTGTGAAGTAAGCTGTACACCTCACAGAGCTACATTGATGACGTCACACCACTCACTGTGACGTAATAGACAGGACGTTATAGCCGGATGTAGAAAAGGGAAAAATTCAAGCTATCTGTTTCCCCCCAAATATGAAATACACGCTATCACTGTAGTTCTATCATGTTTTCTCCCCAATAATGATTGCCAACTTTGAAATAATAATATCGTAATAACCGACACCCTGTATTTTGTAACCTATCATTGTACATAGCATTGTTTCGAAATATCTGTCGGCAACAATTACTTGTCTATAGATATCAGCTTCAGCTGTTTCAATCAGTGACCAGCCAATGAGAATCGAGTATTTTCCACATTCACGTTAGAGTGCGCCTTGCCGTCATTTGTAGAAATACATGTATACATATCTTCAGTCATTTTGTGCGCAACGGAACGATCCTCACGATGATATAAAGCGGAATGTATACGTTGTGAGGTGTTTACAACTGAAAGTTTTATTCAATGGTACACAGTGTATATCTGTACAGAATCGGGATCCACAACATACAACAAGACAGCATGAACGTCATCTTATAAGAATTGGCACGTTGCAATGTCAGGGAAATCTGTACTACAATACACCGCTCCTCCGTACAGCGTGGTGGGACTATGATGCACCGGTGAGGTGTCCCACGGGCACTGCTTGCAGGAGTTACCTCCCCTCAGCAAGCCAGCATACTTTTGCTTTTTGAAGCTACAGTTGTCTGACGTGTCCCGTCTCATCATGTCTGTGATAAACGTGAAGATTGTATTCCTTATGACTATCTTTCGACCACCATGTATAAGATGTAGGTCCCTAATAATAGAGAACTGGCAGTATAATACCCACAGTAATGCTTCTCAGATCCTCACAGAAATAGTTTTCCGATCCTCACAGAAATGGCTCACAGAGCCTCACAGAAATGGTTCTCAGATTCCCACAGAATAGGCTCACAGATCTTCTCATAAATGGTTCTCAGATTCACAAAGGACAGTTGTGAGGTCGTCACAGAACTGATTCAATGACGCCGACAGAAACTCCATTATCTAAGGAACCCCGGGTGGACACTACCTACCGGGTCACTATCTCCACACCACTCTGGTCACGTCGCCAACGTGACAGACGTCACGAACCCGCGGAGTCACTGACTCCACCACCTTCCTGGATCAGCTGTCGTCACGTCATTCCAACTTGATTTCGACCTGGGCTTCTGATAGGTCAGTAGACTCTTCTGTCTCTGCCACCAGCATTTGTGATTGGATGCGATCAATGTCCTCATCTTTTATTGTATTGCTGGTAGGTGTAGTGGCGAGAGGTCTCTCTGGAGGAACAAGTCGGTCCAACTGCTCTCTACAACAGAAACAGAATATCAGCTGAAGAAATCCAACTGTCCGACTTCCAATATTCACTATTACTACCATTACACGAGCGTGTCCAAGTCACGTGTATTTACTATTCGTAGAAAACAGGTCTAGGACTGCGTCACCAAGGCCAATCACCCGAACGCGTTACCCCAGCTTATTGTGTCCACAAGACGTGTACGTATCAGAGGTAGCTTTAGGAAACCAGGCACAGGACAGCGTTGGGTCAAATTCTGTGGTTGCTGATACAAACTAACACAAGAAAACGTTTGATGCGATGCATCAACACGGCGGCAAACTCTTTGTGTCCCCCAAAATATGTTATATATTGGTATCAATTCATTTCCGGCTTTACATCTTAAACCATGTTCTTGACTACAATACGATTACCTCCCTTCAATACCTAATTTGATAAACAAGGTATTTTCACAGTATATGAGCGAAGTGGCCTCTTCAGGCCGAAGGAAGGTGAGTCCGCATTCTGCAACAATGTAGTCTTTTGTGGGGGACATTTTCTTTGTATTTCAACATGATCATTTTTTCAATCAATTTCCGGGACAATTTATTTTTTTGATAATAATTATAAAATAAAAAACAGAATTAAAACCATAACATGGTTGGTCCCCTTGCCCGGTGCGGGGTGTATACTGACTGTATCCGGGTGAGCGTGTATTCCTGTCGGGCCAGGCGGTTCTTGATCGTCAGCAGGTTGAGCTTGTGTGAGTCAAGGCCGTCCCAGATGTCCCGGATGTACTTGTTGAGCTCGTTGAGGGGAGGATTCTCCCACTTCTCCAACACGTCCAGGGGGCTTGCGATCTCGTCCATCTCCTGGTACTTCGTCACGCGGTAACCCTGGGAGACCACCATCATATCACTCAACGTTTAACCTCATCACTGGAGCTGTGACTTCAGCGTTCTGTGTTACACCTAGCCATCTCTAGCGTTAACTGTTAGTTCTCGATACTTTTTTGTCCTATCACTGCTGTTATAGTACCACTGGATGGTGGTAGTGTTTATGAAGTGCTGAATTCTCATTGTTTATGCCTATAAACAATGTTATCTTGCCTATAAACAATTTACCCTTGCCTATGAAAATCCTACCTTTGTCTATAAACAACCTCACCTTTTCCTATAAACAATGTAATCCTGCCACTAACCAATCTCACCTTGCCACTAACCAATCTCACCTTGCCTATAAACAATCTCACCTTGCCTATAAACAATCTCACATTGCCTACAAACAATCTCACCTTGCCTATAAAACAATCTCACCTTGCCTATAAACAATCTCACCTTGCCTATAGACAATCTCACATTGCCTACAAACAATTTCACCTTGCCTATAGACAATCTCACCTTACCTATAAACAATCTCACCTTGCCTATATACAATCTCACCTTGCCTATAAACAGTCTCACCTTGCCTATAAACAATCTTACCTTGCCTATAAACAGACTGTTAAGCTCAACACGGGCAATAATCCACGCCCTGTTGAGCTCCAGACCGCGTTGTGCATCCCGCTGTACGTTCTGGTAGGTGTCGCTGAGCTGGGCGATGAGGATGTTGAGGAGGACAACGATGCAGGTGAAGAGGAAGATGACCATGATGATGCAGCTCAGCGTGCTGTGGGGGGAAGCAAGCGCAGTCAGTGATGGTAGAAAACACACACCCATACACACACACACGCACAGACACACATATGCACGTACGCACGCACGCACACATCCCCTTCCCCCGACCTCTTACAACCCCGTGCCATAAGAAACCCAGATAAGACACGTGATTCAAAGAAGCAGTAGGTTGTGTGGAGATTATTGTCCAAATGGAGAAGTGGTAAAAATGTATAGACCTCACAAGTCGCTCATAAAGTGCAATCATATTATTTATTTGCAATACTGCCAGGTGTATGATTTGTTGCTACCGGTCGTATTGCGGTAATACCATAGCGAATAATAGTGTAAGGCCATCATGAAGTGAACTTTCATCTTTATTAATGCGACCTCCTTTGTAATAACAGCGATAAGGAATGCATGGGAATATTAGTCCAATGAATGACTCCACCAGGTAGTAACTGATTCAACTAGTGACGGTTCCCTAAAGGTACTCGTTCATCCGACTAGTGACTGTCCCCTAAAGGTACTCGTTCATCCGACTAGTGACTATCCCCTGTAGGAACACGTTCATCCGACTAGTGACTGTCCCCTAAAGGAACACGTTCATCCTACTGGTGACTGTCCCCTAAAGGAACACGTTCATCCGACTAGTGACTATCCCCTATAGGAACACGTTCATCCAACTAGTGACTATCCCCTATAGGAACACGTTCATCCAACTAGTGACTATCCCCTATAGGAACACGTTCATCCGACTAGTGACTATCCCCTGTAGGAAGACGTCCATCCGACTAGTGACTATCCCCTATAGGAACACGTTCATCCGACTAGTGACTATCCCCTATAGGAACACGTTCATCCAACTAGTGACTATCCCCTATAGGAACACGTTCATCCAACTAGTGACTATCCCCTATAGGAACACGTTCATCTCACTAGTGACTATCCCCTGTAGGAAGACGTCCATCCGACTAGTGACTATCCCCTATAGGAACACGTTCATCCGACCAGTGACTATCCCCTATAGGAACACGTTCATCCAACTAGTGACTATCTCCTATAGGAACACGTTCATCAAACTAGTGACGTTCATCCGACTACTCCGACTAGTGACTATCCCCTGTAGGAGCTCGTTCATCCAACTAATAACTATCCCCTGTAGGAACACGTTCATCCAACTAGTGACTATCCCCTATAGGAACACGTTCATCCAACTAGTGACTATCCCCTGTTGGAACACGTTCATCCAACTAGTGACTATCCCTTGTTGGAACACGTTCATCCAACTAGTGACTATCCCCTGTTGGTACTCGTTCAAATACCAACTTGTCGTTCAAGCCCTATTCACACTCAGCCTCCTTTGCAACCAAAGCAACACTTCAGTGGACTAGTCCTTGGATCCTACATTGACGTCGCTGTTATACACAGCAGTACACGTCTTGAGCTAGACTCACCTATATTCTGTGTACTCTATGACAGGCTCGCCCTCAATCAGGACCCGTACGCCTGTGAACAGGATGTCCCAGAAGGTGCTGTACAGGAAGACGAAGGCATATAAAGAATTCATTGATATATATTTGTACTGATTATCTGCATTGTATGTCACACATGGTGGTTACGGGAATAAAGGGGAACCACCCGTACCTGGTTTCATTGTGTACTTGCAGGGAGTTCTCTCCCCTTAGGGCCATGATGAAGGATCCGCTGAAAGCAAGCAGGATGACGGCGAAGACAATGGTGAACTGGATGAAGTCGTGTGCGATGATGCGCCATAAGATCTGGGCATAGGCTCCGGTTTGTCTGAGGACGAGAAGAGATGTGAGGAGTTAGCTATATGTAGCCACAGGCCGTCAGCGAGGGTGCTTGTTGTGTAGACATCCGGTTATTAAAATAGATTTTGTAACTGTAATCGCGCAAATGTTATATGATAGCTCATAAAACTGCATTAGCCTCAGTGCTTGGCCGACATCTTGGAAAACAGCCTGAGCGTCCACAGTAGATAGCCGACCTTACCGAAACACTGCGGCGTATTTGAAGAGCCTGAGTGTCCACAGTAGATAGTCGACCTTACCGAAACACTGCGGCGTATTTGAAGAGACTGAGTGTCCACAGCAGATAGCCGACCTTACCGAAACACTGCGGCGTATTTGAAGAGACTGAGTGTCCACACCAGATAGCCGACCTTACCGAAACACTGCGGCGTATTTGAAGAGACTGAGTGTCCACAGCAGATAGCCGACCTTACCGAAACACTGCGGCGTATTTGAAGAGCCTGAGTGTCCACAGCAGATAGCCGACGGAGAAGACGTGCCACTGCTCCTGTCTGTGCGTGAAGCGGAGCGGGGGAACCAACAGCAGGAGGGAGGAGGACGACAGGTCGATCCAGTTGAACTTGTCCTTCCAGTAGTCTAGTCTGTGTCTGCAGGCACAAAGCCAGGTAATCAAGAACTCGTCCAACTCTGCATTTCCTTCTTGATTAGATTATTTGAATCTTTACCTATACCATCATCTCACAACACTGCCCACAACACACAGCAGATAAGCACATAGATATTAACTCTTGTACGGGTGTACGTGTTCCCTAGTCGTCTCAGGTCCCACAATCCGCGGTGCAGAATTGCTTCCCTCGGACACCCCGGAAACCTATGATCGTGGGTTCGAATGCCGGTTCGCGCCGATTATGTTTCTAGGTTGGTCAGCACCAGACCCATGCTCGTGTGTTTCGATGGCAGCATTACCTCGGGTTTTCCCCCAACATTAAGCTGACGCAACGTGATATAATGCGGAATACTGTTAGAAGCAGAGCTCACTTTCTCATACACTCGGAAACACACATATATAGACATACTTTCTGAATTGGTTGAACTACATGCCTACAGAGCTATACTCAATTGCTATGACGTACTTTCTGAACTGGTTGAGCTACATGCCTACAGAGCTATATTCGATTGCTGTGACGTACTTTCTGAATCGGTTGAACTACATGTCAACAAAGCTATACTCAATTGCTGTGACGTACTTTCTGAATTGGTTGAACTGCATGCCTACAGAGCTATACTCAATTGCTGTGACGTACTTTCTGAATTGGTTGAGCTACATGCCTACAGAGCTATATTCGATTGCTGTGACGTACTTTCTGAACCGGTTGAACTACATGTCAACAGAGCTATACTCAATCGCTGTGACGTACTTTCTGAATTGGTTGAACTGCATGCCTACAGAGCTATACTCGATTGCTGTGACGTACTTTCTGAATTGGTTGAGCTACATGCCTACAGAGCTATACTCAATTGCTTTGACGTACTTTCTGAATTGGTTGAACTGCATGCCTACAGAGCTATGCTCGATTACTGTGACGTACTTTCTGAATTGGTTGAGCTCGAGGAAGAAGGTGACGATCACGGCCAGGTAGGACCACACCTCGAACACCGCACGTGCTAACTGTACAGGTGAGTCGTAGACTGTGGGGTCTGACGTCATCACGGCCGAGATGGCAGAAAACGTCATCGAGAACAGTGTGATGCAAAACAAGAAACAATTCATTCTGAAACAGAATAATGTGTGTTAGAACACTGTACCGTGTGTACAGTATAGAATGTGTACTTGAATCAGCATTTTTTAAATATAGAAACCAGTTGTCAAGTGTATGCTTCCCTTTGACCGACAGTTGAGTACATGGTGCAGGCAAACCACTATTAACTCACACAGAATCGACCCTCACCTTAGTGGTTCGACCAGACACTCCGCCCCAAGGCCCAGATGGTCCAAATGCAGTGGCCATTTTGTCCACCCAATCAAGCAGGGGCGGAAGAGCGTGGCATCACCATGGCAACTGGGAGTTTACATTGATGGAACTAATGATACTCACTGAAATCGGAAGCGTGCGTAGCCTTTCCACTTCTTCCTGATGAGGAGCCTGACAACGTCGTGGTACACCACCGACTGTAGAGGAGGGAACAGATGTTGAATGTGGGACCAGTCATCCATACTAGTCAACTTGTGATAGGGATATTCGTGATTATCCAGGTACAAAGGAAAGTGGCTTGGAGATGTTGTCATACTAATAGTATCGAATAGTGCCTTGATACTGGCGCATTTTTAGCACCATGTCCAGATGCAATGACTACACACTAATGATGTGATTTCCTCATCGTTTAGTAGCAGCATGCACTATCTTAAAATCTCCATAAAACGCTGAGTAGTCCAGTTAAACACCTTTGTGCCGAAGTTGAGGGGCCTACGTAAATACTTCGAGTCATCCGATGTTCGACCTGATGACTAAAGAAGGTATACGCGGGGACCAAGCATTTACTTCGAGACAAACGTTAGTTCGACACAACGGTGTTTAATTGTATATTATGTCACATAAAGTTTGGTTAGGAAAATATTTGTTGCTAAGAAAATATTATAGATCAAACAATTTGGAATTCATCCCGGTTCGCCCCGATTAATATTCCAAGTTTTGTCAGCACCATACCCGTGCTCGTGGGTTTCACCGAAGTGGTAAACGTCTGAGACCTGTATCACTTCGGGCTTTCCTCCCACATTAAACTGACACTGGAATAACTGGAATACTGTTAAAAGCGGCGTTAAACCAAACTCACTCACTCACCTTATGAACATTTATAGATGCCAGGATGGATCAGTCAACATGAACACTATGTGTTATATATTCGATGATTAGAGGAATTATTTGTTGAGGCACAATATGTCAATGACTTTAGACATGTGTAAACCCTTGTCATGGTTTCTGTCATGTTTTAAAAACTTATACAAAATATAACAATTTTGGCTTCCCTGTTTTGTATACATGCTGTTGCGTCACTACGTATATCTTTTACTATCAAATCATTACTGTATACCTATCGCATGTATCCTGAAGATACAGAATGGTAATTTCTGATAAGTTACACGGTTTAAATATGCAACTAAACCTCAATTTGACAGATATGGACTGTGTTTCAAAACCATCTTGACGCAGTGGCCGAACGATCGCATCCAAATGTGGAAGAAATATGACAATCGATATTGAGAGAGAAAGGTGCAGAAAATTGCGAGAACTACAAACTTAATCCCCTCTGAACATAAGAATGAGAATAACTGCTCTGGGTTGCGCCCCTTATGGTGTATTCTCCCTGCAGTGTTTTATTGTCCGATGAATAACTCCCATGATTGTTTAACGTCGGATGTCTGTGAGACGACTTTAGATACACATGCTGAAATACAAAGACAATAGACAACAAACAAAGACAACAAAACTTACTTGAATTTTCGGAGAATAGATGAAACTAATTTTTCGTTATCCTTTTAAAAAGAAAAAAAACACCAAATGTTGCAAAAACGTACACCACATCCTGAGGTTACTAGGGCGTCCTATATGAGAGTCTGTACATGAGGACACCCACCTTATACCCTTCCTTGGCTATGACATGTAGACAGGACTTGGAGTTAGAGCCAAACGACGGATGTCGCGGGGATCTGCCAAACTCATCGGCCTCCAGCACGTGGTAGAACACCCTCATGTGTCCACTGTCTCCTATAGGGTCCATCATACAGTCCAACACACCCAGGGCAGTCTTCTGTAATACACAGAACATAGACCATACAGTCCAACACACCCAGGGCAGTCTGCTGTAATACACAGAACATAGACCATACAGTCCAGCACATCCAGGGCAGTCTGCTGTAATACATAGAACATAGACCACACAGTCCAGCACAACCAGGGCAGTCTGCTGTAATACATAGAACATAGACCATACAGTCCCGCACAACCAGGGCAGTCTGCTGTAATACATAGAACATAGACCATACAGTCTAGCACACCCAGGGCAGTCTGCTGTAATACATAGAACATAGACCATACAGTCTGGCACAACCAGGGCAGTCTGCTGTAATACATAGAACATAGACCATACAGTCTAGCACACCCAGGGCAGTCTGCTGTAATACATAGAACATAGACCATACAGTCTGGCACACCCAGGGCAGTCTGCTGTAATACATAGAACATAGACCATACAGTCTGGCACATCCAGGGCAGTCTGCTGTAATACATAGAACATAGACCACACAGTCCAGCACAACCAGGGCAGTCTGCTGTAATACATAGAACATAGACCATACAGTCTGGCACAACCAGGGCAGTCTGCTGTAATACATAGAACATAGACCATACAGTCTAGCACACCCAGGGCAGTCTGCTGTAATACATAGAACATAGACCATACAGTCTGGCACAACCAGGGCAGTCTGCTGTAATAAAGGCAACATGAGTTTCCTTCCCTACAATCGCGACCACTTTCTCTATATGGTGAAAGTTAGTTTATGAAATACGAGTAAAGTTGACCTAAAGAGTACACAAATGTCGTGGACTCGTCGATTTGAGAAAGAATAAAACAAGACTATTGTCCAGGGTCAATAGGGTCAAGAAAACGTCATGTCATCAGCAGGTTTGGTGATGCACGGAATGAACCAGCCCGTGGCTTGTGATTGGACAAGGATCTAGTGTCATAGATGTCGGCGTGTGCATTGGCACCTGGTGGGCTAGCGTCAAAGCAAAGACCCGAATTAGATTACCCATATGTACCAGTGTGCGAAGCTGGAGTATTGCGGCGTAAAACCCAGCCCGCTCACTCACTCACTTACCAGCATCTCATTGCGCAGGAGTGTGTGGAGTTTGCACTCAGCCTCAGAGTTCTTGTCATCCGTCACTGTGTGGAGCTCTCGGACCCTTGTAATATGAAACATCATAAATGGTTTTCTTTTAAATGAATACAGCTGCTTTCCAATACAAAGAGTAGTCCCTTGATGCTATATATGTGTAGAGCATCCCCCGTGACTAATACATGACTGCACCTCGATTTACATATGTCAGGGTTGCAGTTAGTCGATGGCTAGTCTTGCATGACGGCACTTAGATCTACATGTGTCAGGGTTGCAGTAAGTCGATGATTATCACTGCTTGACAGCACTTAGATCTGCATCTATGGGGGTTGCAGTACGTCTAAGGTTATCCTCGGATGATGTCACTCACGCAGTGTTGGGCATGAAGTTGAGGATAAGGGCGGCGATGTCGTCGTTGTTGTTGTTGAGGGCCAGGTGGTAGGGCATGTTGTTGTCCTTGTCTCTGGCGTGGGGGAGGGCGTCGTTCTCCAGCAGTTTACTACACACCCCCTTGAAGTTCCTCTTGACGGCGTGGTGGAGGGGGGTCTGCCAGGCGCTGTCGCACGTCGACGGGTTGGCGCCGCGGTGCAGCAGGGTGTTCACGAAGATCTGCACCTGGACACGAACCCAACACATTGCACAATAATATTTTCAGTGAAGTCGGTAATGTCGCGAGCCATTGAAGACATGGTGATGGCCTTGAGTTACCCGAAGATGCCATTGCCTTCAACGTGGCACCTCTGATTTGTTTGTTTGTTTGTTTGTTTAACGCAGCATTCAGCAATATTCCAGCTCTATGAGGGCCGTAAAAAATCCGGTCTGAACTGAATATTCCATTGACTGATATTATGAGCAACAATCCATTCCGCCCAGGAATGATAACACGGAGCTGCTTTTAGAGATATCGCTTGGAACTCTGACAGTGTTATTTATGACATCCATGGTAGTTTTAACATCAGTTTTATTCAGTATATGTTACCGTATATGTTACCTTTATTTCTGTGGGGATTTCCGACACGACATACAGCAAGGCCTTATCTTTTCCCTCGTATCTGTCAATCAGCTTGTCAATCATCACCTCGGTCTCCGCCTCCTGTCGGCCGATGTAGTGTGTCTGTGTCTTCTGGACGACCTAAGGGCGAACAGTTAACGCAGTTTGACCAATGTTCAAATCATAACGTGTGGGTTTGATGCTGAAACAAAGCCAACATTTAACCGCATATGTTCAGTATTGGGTAGAAAAATACTGCTTCTCCATATATTCGTCCCTGGTTTCAAAATGCCTCATTAAGGTTTCTTTATGCTTTTCCTTTGCAGTACCTCTCTTTGAAAGGCATCTTCAGTGATGTCGGTTCCAAGAAAGTCAGCAACAGACGCAGTGATCGGCAGGGTCGACGACTGAGACGCCCGCTTCTGAGACTGACCTATAACAATGAGAAAGAGGAACTAGTCAGCAGCACTACAAGGTGTTGACATTAGTGTTCCCTCACTAGCTGCATGTAACACGGAGCTGTGTGGCTGCACTACGAGGTGTTGACATTAATGTTCCCTCACTAGCTGCATGTAACACGGAGCTGTGTGGCAGCACTACAAGGTGTTGACATTAATGTTCCCTCACTAGCTGCATGTAACACGGAGCTGTGTGGCAGCACTACAAGGTGTTGACATTAGTGTTCCCTCACTAGCTGCATGTAACACGGAGCTGTGTGGCAGCACTACGAGGTGTTGACATTAGTGTTCCCTCACCAGCTGCATGTAACACGGAGCAGTGTGGCAGCACTACGAGGTGTTGACACTAATGTTCCCTCACTAGCTGCATGTAACACGGAGCTGTGTGGCAGCACTACGAGGTGTTGACATTAGTGTTCCCTTACCAGCCACATGTAACATGGAGCTGTGTGGCAAAACGACAAGGTGTTGACATTAGTGTTCCCTCACCAGCTGCATGTAACACGGAGCTGTGTGGCAGCACTACAAGGTGTTGACACTAGTGTTCCCTCACCAGCTGCATGTAACACGGAGCTGTGTGGCAGAACTACAAGGTGTTGACACTAGTGTTCCCTCGCCAGCTGCATGTAACATGGAGCTGTGTGGCAGCACTACGAGGTGTTGACATTAGTGTTCCCTTACCAGCTGCATGTAACATGGAGCTGTGTGGCAGCACTAGTAGGTGTTGACATTAGTGTTCCCTTACCAGCTGCATGTAACACGGAGCTGTGTGGCAGCACTACGAGGTGTTGACATTAGTGTTCCCTTACCAGCTGCATGTAACACGGAGCTGTGTGGCAGCACTACGAGGTGTTGACATTAGTGTTCCCTTACCATCTGCATGTAACACGGAGCTGTGTGGCAGCACTACGAGGTGTTGACATTAGTGTTCCCTCACCAGCTGCATGTAACACAGAGCTGTGTGGCAGCACTACAAGGTGTTGACATTAGTGTTCCCTCACCAGCTGCATGTAACACGGAGCTGTGTGGCAGAACTACAAGGTGTTGACACTAGTGTTCCCTCACCAGCTGCATGTAACATGGAGCTGTGTGGCAGCACTACGGGTTGTTGACATTAGTGTTCCCTTACCAGCTGCATGTAACACGGAGCTGTGTGGCAGCACTACAAGGTGTTGACATTAGTGTTCCCTCACCAGCTGCATGTAACACGGAGCTGTGTGGCAGCACTACGAGGTGTTGACATTAGTGTTCCCTTACCAGCTGCATGTAACACGGAGCTGTGTGGCAGCACTACGAGGTGTTGACATTAGTGTTACCTTACCAGCTGCATGTAACACGGAGCTGTGTGGCAGCACTACAGGGTGTTGACATTAGTGTTCCCTCACCAGCTGCATGTAACACGGAGCTGTGTGGCAGAACTACAAGGTGTTGACACTAGTGTTCCCTCACCAGCTGCATGTAACATGGAGCTGTGTGGCAGCACTACGGGTTGTTGACATTAGTGTTCCCTTACCAGCTGCATGTAACACGGAGCTGTGTGGCAGCACTACGAGGTGTTGACATTACTGTTCCCTTACCAGCTGCATGTAACACGGAGCTGTGTGGCAGCACTAGGAGGTGTTGACATTAGTGTTCCCTTACCAGCTGCATGTAACACGGAGCTGTGTGGCAGCACTACGAGGTGTTGACATTAGTGTTCCCTTACCAGCTGCATGTAACACGGAGCTGTGTGGCAGCACTACGAGGTGTTGACATTAGTGTTCCCTTACCAGCTGCATGTAACACGGAGCTGTGTGGCAGCACTACGAGGTGTTGACATTAGTGTTCCCTTACCAGCTGCATGTAACGAGGAGCTGTGTGGCAGCACTACAATAAGATGCTTGGTGACAGCTGTGTCTCCTTCAATGTTTCTTTGTTGTTAACGTCACAATATTCCAGCTACTTAACGGCGGTATGTAAATATGTAAACGACGTCTCACAATCAACCAAGTTCCCAAACCTGACCCCCGCACACAATTGCTATAGCATTGATCTTGCTTCAACAACAACACCTACCTGGGGAGCTAAGTTCCTGCAGAGCAATGTCTTTGGATTTGTTGCGCTTGCGAATAGGGGCTTGGTCCTCACCCCTTCCACGCCGATACTTCCCGCTAGACATACCCGGAGTCCCCCACCCGATCACGTGACAATACCTGTAATCATACAAGATAAAATGAATATAGAAAATGTCCTGCGTGTGAAAAAGACCAAGTGAGACTCATGAAAACATTAAATCTGATTCCCAAATTGTGTATACCAGGTGATGTGTTTTACCACGCGGCTGTCATCTGCTCACACCCCACTCCGTACGCTGCATCCTCTGTTTGACAGTCTCTAGGCGTGGTCACGTGCTTCGCCAGTTGTAGAGTATGGACAAGCGCGTTCTAGGGATACTCATTAACTTGGCGCGCCTTGATATAACTGAAAGAGTGAGTAAGTGTGGTTTTACGCGGCTTTTAGCAATATTTCGGCAATATCACGGCGGGGGACACCAGAAATGGGCTTCACACATTGTTCCCATGTGGGGAATCGAGCCCGGGCCTTCGGACGAACGCTTTAACCACTAGGCTGCCCCAGCGCACCTAAAACTGAAAGAATATTCATATCCGTGTGAAACTGGGTTCAGACATTTCATAGACGCCCCCCATGGATAGACACCAATTACGGCGACATGGAGACACTATCCAGATCATAACACCACAGCTGCAGCTGGTTGACATGTAACCCAGGTGACACGCTGATAGCAGGGTAATTATACGTTCATACCTGGCGACAGGTAGACTCCCGTAATTAGCACCCTCTCAGGCGACTGATTACCTGTGTTGACTATAAATCACGAACACATTATAAACTCGTCATCATCGCCATGACACCTGACGTAGAACACTGTCTCAACGCTACAAGTAAATTAGCACGGCCTCAGATTATGATCTGTTCTCCGTTAACTCGCCAGCTTAACATGAAACCGTTTGTCCGTTAGAAGTACCACTGCTTCACTACAACCATTCGTCATCTTGCATTAGGACCTGCTTGTTATCTCTGCCCGTCGTCCCCTCGTCTTCAGGTTGGGTTTGTGTCTATGCGTCCCCCAACCCGACATTGTGTTCTTTGGTTGTCTTCAGAGTGAGTGAGTGAGTATGGTTTTACGCCGCTTTTAGCAATATTCCAGCAATATCACGGCGGGGGACACCAGAAATGGGCTTCACACATTGTACCCATGTCGGGAATCGAACCCGGATCTTCGGCGTGACGAGCGAACGCTTTAACCACTAGGCTACCCGACCGCCCCTGTTGTTGTCTTCAGAGCGCCGATCTGGATATCGTGCATGTGAAGACACCACAGCACCGTGGAGAGGCATTGTCAGAATGCGCCGCCAGGTATCTATGCTGATTGTAAGAGGTGACTTGGTGGATCGGGTGGCCAGGCGCTGATTGGCTGATTGGGTGTCACCGCAGCCGTGCGACGTTGATCATTATATCAATCACTCGTTTGTTGTGGTCCAGATAACAGTGGAACCAAATGACCTGAGACCTCAGTGATATGCTGGTAGAACCAATTGACCTGAGACGTCGGTGATATGCTGGTTGAACCAATTGACCTGAGACCTCAGTGATATGCTGGAAGAACCAATTGACCGGAGACGTCGGGGATATGCTGGTAGAACCAATTGACCTGAGACCTCGGTGATATGCTGGAAGAACCAATTGACCTGAGACATCGGTGATATGCTGATAGAACCAATTGACCTGAGAGGTCAGTGATATGCTGGTAGAACCAATTGACCTGAGACGTCGGTGATATGCTGGTAGAACCAATTGACCGGAGACCTGAGTGATATGCTGGTTGAATCAATTGACCGGAGACCTCAGTGATATGCTGGTAGAACCAATTGACCTGAGACGTCAGTGATATGCTGGTAGAAACAATTGACCTGAGACCTGAGTGATATGCTGGTTGAATCAACTGACTTGAGACGTTAGTGATATGCTGGTTGAATCAATTGACCTGAGACGATAGATATGCTGGTAGAACCAATTGACCTGAGACGTCTGGTTGAGATGCAAGTAGAACCAATTGACCCACGACGTCGTCGAGTAGCGGAAGGCACAGTTTAAATTACATCCGTCAACTGTTAGTTTTAGAAATCGCGGGAAATATATGCGTCAGTTCTGATTTCACAGACGATTGTACCAAGGCGGATACAGACTGTGTATCAGTGTTGGGTTGTAGGACGTGAACCCCACATGTTGGTTATAACCGAGTCCTTCAACAACACACATTGGACATTGTTGAGCAATACATGATTGCCATGGCCATTACGCATCCACATGGGACCAGATTCACTTCCTGGTTGACTCGGGACAACAGTCTATCCCACACCGGGCCCGCCCTCTCACTATAATCGTCTTTGTACTTATCATCAGTGTATAACTATACAAATAATACTCACTGTAGGTACAGATATGATATGTCCAGTGAAGTCTATGGTTCCGTCAGTGATGAGTATCACCTGTCTGTCGCAGGCTAGTTCATTCTCCTCCCGCAGGAAGACGTATAGATCTGCAACTTACCCAGAGGCATGACCTGCTGCACTTGGGGTCACGTGACGTCTCGAACCGTTCTGTTATAGACGCAGTCAGTGATATCACACGGCCAAGAAACAACAGCTGCCTTTCCATGCAGTCTGATAGAATAGAATAGGGGTATATTCCAATACAACACACGATAACGCAACAACGCAGTGATAATTAACGTGTCACGTGAACATCTGTGTACGTGTCAGAGGTCACCAGGGCGTCAGAGCGTGGAAGTGAAGTCGCAGTGAAGTGCGAGATGATCTGTCAAGCTATCTATTCGCGTCTGAAATCTCAGTGTGACACCTGTTTGTACCCAGGGGCGATGTTGCGTCGCCCAGCGTAGTCACCAATACCATGGCGTGGTGGCACGGCAGTGTAAGCAACAAGAGAGCAGTTTGAGCGTATGCGATGAGAGGCGCTTAAACTGCTCTATCATCGCATACACCAAAACTGCTCTATCATCGCATACACTAAAACTGCTCTCTCATCGTCAAAACTAAAACTGCTCTCTCATCGTACACACTAAAACTGCTCTCTGATCGCATACACTAAACCTGCTCTCTCATCGCATACACTGAAACTGCTCTCTCATCGCATACACTAAAACTGCTCTCTCATCGTCAAAACTAAAACTGCTCTCTCATCGTACACACTAAAACTGCTCTCTCATCGCATACATTAAAACTGCTCTATCATCGCACACACTAAAACTGCTCTCTGATCGCATACACTAAACCTACTCTCTCATCGCATACACTGAAACTGCTCTCTCATCGCATACACTAAAACTGCTCTCTCATCGTCAAAACTAAAACTGCTCTCTCATCGTACACACTAAAACTGCTCTCTCATCGCATACATTAAAACTGCTCTATCATCGCACACACTAAAACTGCTCTATCATCGCATACACTAAAACTGCTCTATCATCGCATACACCAAAACTGCTCTCTCATCGTACACACTAAAACTGCTCTCTCATCGTACACACTAAAACTGCTCTTTCATCGCATACACTAAAACTGCTCTATCATCGCATACACTAAAACTGCTCTATCATCGCATACACCAAAACTGCTCTCTCATCGTACACACTAAAACTGCTCTCTCATCGCATACACTAAAACTGCTGTCTCATCGCATACACTAAAACTGCTCTATCATCGCATACACTAAAACTGCTCTATCATCGCATACACTAAAACTGCTCTATCATCGCATACACCAAAACTGCTCTCTCATCGTACACACTAAAACTGCTCTCTCATCGCATACACTAAAACTGCTGTCTCATCGCATACACTAAAACTGCTCTATCATCGCATACACTAAAACTGCTCTATCATCGCATACACCAAAACTGCTCTCTCATCGTACACACTAAAACTGCTCTCTCATCGCATACACTAAAACTGCTCTATCATCGCATACACTAAAACTGCTCTATCATCGCATACACTAAAACTGCTCTATCATCGCATACACTAAAACTGCTCTATCATCGCATACACTAAAACTGCTCTATCATCGCATACACCAAAACTGCTCTCTCATCGTACACACTAAAACTGCTCTCTCATCGCATACACTAAAACTGCTCTCTCATCGCATACACTAAAACTGCTCTATCATCGCATAACTAAAACTGCTCTATCATCGCATACACTAAAACTGCTCTATCATCGCATACACTAAAACTGCTCTATCATCGCATACACTAAAACTGCTCTATCATCGCATACACCAAAACTGCTCTCTCATCGTACACACTAAAACTGCTCTCTCATCGTACACACTAAAACTGCTCTCTCATCGCATACACTAAAACTGCTGTCTCATCGCATACACTAAAACTGCTCTATCATCGCATACACTAAAACTGCTCTATCATCGCATACACTAAAACTGCTCTATCATCGCATACACCAAAACTGCTCTCTCATCGTACACACTAAAACTGCTCTCTCATCGCATACACTAAAACTGCTCTATCATCGCATACACTAAAACTGCTCTATCATCGCATACACTAAAACTGCTCTCTCATCGCATGCACTAAGACTTCTCTCATACTACACACTTTAACTATTTACTATACACGCCACACTACACACTCTACAATACACACTACACATTACACGTCTTACAATACACACTCCACACTAAACACCATACACGGCACTTCATACTCTACGCTATGTAGTACATGTCATACAGTCCACACTACACACTAAAAACTCTACACTATACAGTAAACGTCATACACACTCTACACTACACACTACAAAATGCACACTCTACGCTATATAGTACACACTACACAATACACACTACGCACAACATACTACACAATACACACTACAGCATATGCCATACACTACATACTACACACCACACACTACACACTTCATTACACGCCACACACTAAACACTACACACTTCACATTACACGCCATACAGTCAACACTACACATAACACACTACACACTTCACATTACACGCCATACAGTCAACACTACACATAACACACTACACACTTCACATTCACGCCATACACTCAACACTACAAATTAAACACTACACACTTCACATTACACGCCATACAGTCAACACTACACATTAAACACTACACACTTCACATTACACGCCACACAGTCAACACTACACATTAAACACTACACACTTCACATTACACGCCATACAGTCAACACTACACATAACACACTACACACTTCACATTACACGCCATACAGTCAACACTACACATAACACACTTCACACTTCACATTCACGCCATACAGTCAACACTACAAATTAAACACTACACACTTCACATTCACGCCATACAGTCAACACTACACATAACACACTACACACTTCACATTACACGCCATACAGTCAACACTACACATAACACACTACACACTTCACATTACACGCCATACAGTCAACACTACACATTAAACACTACACACTTCACATTACACGCCATACAGTCAACATTACACATAACACACTACACACTTCACATTACACGCCATACAGTCAACACTACACATAACACACTAAGCACTTCACATTCACGCCATACAGTCAACGCTACACATTAAACACTACACACTTCACATTACACGCCATACAGTCAACACTACACATTAAACACTACACACTTCACATTACACGCCATACAGTCAACACTACACATAACACACTACACACTTCACATTACACGCCATACAGTCAACACTACACATAACACACTTCACACTTCACATTCACGCCATACAGTCAACACTACACATAACACACTACACACTTCACATTCACGCCATACAGTCAACACTACACATAACACACTACACACTTCACATTACACGCCATACAGTCAACACTACACATAACACACTACACACTTCACATTCACGCCATACAGTCAACACTACACATAACACACTAAACACTTCACATTCACGCCATACAGTCAACACTACACATTAAACACTACACACTTCACATTACACGCCATACAGTCAACACTACACATTAAACACTACACACTTCACATTACACGCCATACAGTCAACACTACACATAACACACTACACACTTGACATTACACGCCATACAGTCAACACTACACATAACACACTTCACACTTCACATTCACGCCATACAGTCAACACTACACATAACACACTACACACTTCACATTACACGCCATACAGTCAACACTACACATAACACACTACACACTTCACATTCACGCCATACAGTCAACACTACACATAACACACTACACACTTCACATTCACGCCATACAGTCAACACTACACATAACACACTACACACTTCACATTCACGCCATACAGTCAACACTACACATAACACACTTCACACTTCACATTCACGCCATACAGTCAACACTACACATAACACACTACACACTTCACATTACACGCCATACAGTCAACACTACACATAACACACTTCACACTTCACATTCACGCCATACAGTCAACACTACACATAACACACTACACACTTCACATTACACGCCATTAAGTCAACACTACACATAACACACTACACACTTCACATTCACGCCATACAGTCAACACTACACATAACACACTACACACTGTACATTACAGGTCATACAGCACACACTGCACACTACACACCACGCACCGTGCACTACACACTACACGTCATACAACACACACTACACACAACACTTTACACACTAGACCCTACACACTCTACTCTACACGCTTCGCACAACACGCTACACACTGCACACTGTACATTACAGGTCATACAGCACACACTGCAAACTACACACCACGCACCGTGCACTACACACTACACATTACTCGCCATACAGTGCACACTGCACACTTCACACTACGCAATGCACATAACACGTGATACAGTACACACTACACAGTATACACAACACCCGACACACTAAACACTACACACTAAAGCCTGCACACTCTACACTACACGCTAAACACTACACACTACACACTAACCTCTGCACACTACACACTACATACTACACACTGTACATTACACATCATGCAGCACACACTATACACTACACATTACACATTATACCCGGCACACCCTACACTACTCGCTACACGCTACACACTACACACTACACACTACACGTCATACAGCACACACTATACACTACACATTACACACTATACCCGGCACACCCTACACTACTCGCTACACGCTACACAGTACACGTCATACAGCACACACTATACACTACACATTACACACTATACCCGGCACACTCTACACTACTCGCTACACACTACACACTACACGTCATACAGCATACACTATACACTACACATTACACACTATACCCGGCACACCCTACACTACTCGCTACACGCTACACACTATACACTGCACATTACACACTATACCCGGCACACCCTACACTACTCGCTACACACTACACACTACACGCTACACACTACACGTCATACAGCACACACTATACACTACACATTACACACTATACCCGGCACACCCTACACTACACGCTACACGCTACACACTACACACTACACACTACACGCTACACACTACACGTCACACAGCACACACTATACACTACACATTACACACTATACCCGGCACACCCTACACTACACGCTACACGCTACACACTACACACTACACGCTACACACTACACGTCATACAGCACACACTATACACTACACATTACACACTATACCCGGCACACCCTACACTACTCGCTACACGCTACACACTACACACTACACGCTACACACTACACGTCATACAGCACACACTATACACTACACATTACACACTATACCCGGCACACCCTACACAACACGCTACACGCTAAACACTACACACTACACGCTACACACTACACGTCATACAGCACACACTATACACTACACATTACACACTATACCCGGCACACCCTACACTACTCGCTACACGCTACACGCTACACACTACACACTACACGCTACACACTACACGTCATACAGCACACACTATACACTACACATTACACACTATACCCGGCACACCCTACACTACTCGCTACACGCTACACACTACACACTACACGTCATACAGCACACACTATACACTACACATTACACACTATACCCGGCACACCCTACACTACTCGCTACACGCTACACACTACACACTACATGCTACACACTACACGTCATACAGCACACACTATACATAGGACACGGGAACACTTACTTCCTGAACAACGACCGGTCAGCCCTTGTCCTCCATCACGGTCACTGATCTGCCCCTGGTCACCCTCACGTGCACTGGTCACGTCACAGTTGACATCAGCATGACTGATCTCTGTCTCGAGCAGCCACGCCCAGATCCCGTGGTACTTACCTGTAAGCTTCAGCTACTCTGCGTTAATATCTTGAGACAGCGCCCAGGAGTGGATTGATACACGTGGTTACTTATTGTATCTGTATGAAAGACTAACATATTAGTATCCTCATCTACTCTGTCAAATTTAGTGTTTTAGTAAAACATGAAATGTTAGGTTAAGATTAAAAGTTAAACAAACGAATAAACGCATCCTTCTACATATAGACAAAGATAGATAGGTCATATTTTCCCTGATTATATAGAATTGTTGATACTTTTATTTGCAGATGATATTGTATTGTTTTCAGATACGATTTCAGGTTTACAAAACCAACTAAATACTCTCAATAAGATTAGTATTGTAACAAATGGAAATTGACAGTTAATTTAGACAAAACAAAAATAGTGGTATTAATCAAATATGGAATTTTGAAAAAAACACGAACGAAGGACTTTTAATAACCAAAATGTCGAAATTGTAAAACACTATAAATATTACTCAAATATGAATATGATAAAAACAGTGAAATACACATGCCAGAAAGGTAAACAAGCACTTTATGAAATTTTAAGATCATGATATGAACTTGGGTGCTTGGCATATTCTTTAAGATATTTGATGCACAGATTAAGCCTATTTTATCATACGGTGCAGATATTTGGGGCACCAATACCTTTGATCCACTTGAAAAAATTCAGAATTATGCATGTAATTATTTCTTGGTTTACCGTCACAACCTCCTAACGCTATGGCTGTGGGAGAATGTGGTAGATATCCCTAATATGTTGATTCATTTGTGCAGTGTGTAAAATACTGGCTTAGATTAATACACATGTCAGATGGTAGAATACCCAAAAGGTTGTATATGTTAAAACACTTAGCTGAATGTGATAGGAGAGATTGGGTAACAAATGTTATAGAATCTTTATGTTTGATAGGTCTTGGAGAAGTCTGGTTCTCTCAAGGAGTAGGTAATATTGATTATTTAATAAATATGATTAAACCTAGATTAAGAGATATTTTTTTTCAAGAGTGGCAAGCAAAATTAAGAGAAAGTACAAGATTCGATAGTTACAGTAAATACAAATTTTCATTAAATGCTGAACCATATGCGCAATGCATAATTAGCTCTTTTACGAACTGGATGTGCAAAAATCTACATAAATGTTGGAAGACGGAAAAATGTTGAAAAAGGTAAAAAAATCTGTCAGAATTGTAAATGAGTTAGAGGATGAATTCCACATAATAATGAAATGCCCATGTTTTAATGATTTAAGAAGCATTTTTGTACCAAAGAAATATTTAAGCAAATGCACATCCAAATGTTTTGTTAATTTAAAGAATGATTATGAAGCAGCTATAGTATAGAAGACTTGTTAAAATTGTGTAAAGCTTCACTTGTAAGGAGAGAATGTTATCATTAATTACTGATCTGTTATCACTGAATGTATTTATATATATTTGTGTGTGTGTGTGTGTGTGTGTGTGTGTGTGTGTGTGTGTGTGTGTGTGTGTGTGTGTGTGTGTGTGTGTGTGTGTGTGTGAGAGTGTGAGTGAGTGAGTGAGTGAGTGTGATGTGTGTGTATGTATGTATGTGTGTACATGTGTATGTATATTCACACACACACACACACACACACACACACACACACACACACACACACACACACACACACACACACACACACACACACACACACACACACACACACACACACATATATATATATATATTCACATATATATATATATACATGCTATATATTCATATATATATATATATATATATATGCTATATATTCATATATATATATGCACATATGATAAACCGCCATCACCCTTGATGTATATTTTGTATTTTTGTATACTTTGTACACTTTGTATATGGGCCTCAGGTACAAATAGATAAAGAATATTATTAAAGACGGGTAGCTGAATGACAGATCGATACTAAAAGTGACTTTGCATCTGACATTTATTATTCAGTCACATCTGATTTTCAGTGATCAATTCATATTATATTCACCGCTACTTTGTTGACTACCTTGCCTTCTACGCCCAGTGGGATCCGCTTCACTCACTCACTCACTCACTCACTCACTCACTCAACCACTCACTCACTCACCCACCCACCCACTCACTCACTCACTCACTCACTCACTCACTCACTCACTCACTCACTCACTCACCCACCCACTCAGTCACTCACTCACTCACTCACCCAACCACTCACTCACTCACTCACTCACTCACTCACTCCAGCTATACATGGGGATCATGCTAACATGAGAAACTCGCGTGTCGGGTCATTTATCTTCCAGAGCAGCAGGGTCTCATGTATGTCATCAACCCTCGCCACGTCACCCACTCGTTCAGTCCACAACGCTGTGTAACTGGGGGTCAATGTATCAATGTAACATTGAAATCTAACTCCTTGAAGCTTATGGAGCCCAGAACAATACTTAATCCTGGCGCTGAGGCATCGGACTTCTGATCATTCTAGACTTGAGTTGGACTCCTTTCTTAATTTATTCTATGGGGCATGGGAGACAGGCTCAAAATTCTGTTAAGGCCATTTATACTGGAAAAGCTTTTAATTTACATTTATTTTCCGTTTCAGCACAGTAGTAGTTTTGCTATTGATTCCTGAGGGTAAATGTGTGTACAGTACGGTGGACCTCTCCGGACGACATCTAGTGTACCATGTATGTAGGGCTAATGACGTGTCATGTTGGGGCCCACCCCTGTATGATGTGAGATGTTGGGACATATCTATGTATGACGTCTGATGTTCTGGAACATCCATGTGTTCCGTCTGATGTTGTGGCACATCCATTTGCTCCTTTTGATGTAATGGCACATCCCTGTATGACGTGTGATGTTGAGGCACATCCCTGTATGACGTGTGATGTTGTGGCACATTCCTGTATGACGTTTGATGTTAGGGCACATTCCTGTATGACGTGTGATGCTGTGGGACATCCCTGTATGACGTGTGATGTAATGGCACATCCCTGTATGACGTGTGATGTTGAGGCACATTCCTGTATGACGTGTGATGTTGTGGCACATTCCTGTATGACGTTTGATGTTAGGGCACATTCCTGTATGACGTGTGATGCTGTGGGACATTCCTGAATGACGTGTGATGTAATGGCACATCCCTGTATGACGTGTGATGTTGTGGCACATTCCTGTATGACGTGTGATGTTGTGGCACATTCCTGTATGACGTTTGATGTTAGGGCACATTCCTGTATGACGTGTGATGCTGTGGGACATCCCTGTATGACGTGTGATGCCGGGGGACATTCCTGAATGACGTGTGATGTTGTGGCACATTCCTGTATGACGTGGGATGTTGTGGCACATCCCTGTATGGCGTGGGATGTTAGGGCACATCCCTGTATGACGTGTGATGTTGTGGCACATCCCTGTATGACGTGTGATGTTGTGGCACATCCCTGTATGACGTGTGATGTTGAGGCACATCCCTGTATGACGTGTGATGTTGTGGCACATCCCTGAATGACGTGAGATCTCTGTATGTATAAGTTAAGCAGATGGTGGAGGATGATAGGTTCGTGACAAGGGGTAACTACGTACATGCTGTCACCCTGACGGTAGTAGCACTTCTTCCTGCTATGTCCCTTTATACTATGGGGTTTCGCTTACACAAGAGTGAGTGAAAGGTTACCAAGTGAATTGGCTGCATTCAGTAATATTCAACAATAATAATGTCCATGTATAATGCGCCAGATTCAGCACCCAAGCATGCGCAGCCGCTAAATTACCATTGCGCTTGTCATTGGACTATGCAATGTCATTCTCAACTCAGTATACAACCAATGTATTCAAACAATAACACAGTAGGGACATCAAGATTTCACTTCATGTTGTGCCCATGTATGGAATCGAACTACTCGTCCGGCTTCCAGTGTTTGTGTAAATACTTAGTGTAGACAAATATTTATAAACAAAGGGTGTCTTGTACGAGGTCCCCTGTGTGCCGTGTCCGGCTGTGAGCAGGCGTATGGTAATGGTGTGTGTACAGTCACACCTGGGGTCAACTGAGATATACTGCACCACGATATGATGATACTGTATCCCCCCTGAACAAACAACCCCTTGATACAGTGCCCCCCACCCCAACCCCCACACCCCACCCCCACTGCCCCCATCCCTGGCTGTCCATCTGGCTGGAAGTGTCGCTCAGGTGACCCTGTACTCTCGAGATCTACCTGTCTGAAAGTAGAACGCAGGTGATCCACAGCGAGCAGCAGTGTCCCCTCCCACTAGCCGGGCTGAAGCCAGTGTTGTCTAAACATCGAAGTGAGTGAAACTATGTCTACAATCTCTCTGATAATATTTTGTCAAACGTTTGCCGCCATCTTGTTGATTATAGTTTCTAAGAGAAAATGCAAGAAACAATGTTGATGATGATGATGGTGATGATGACGATGATGATGAGGATGATGATGATGATGATGATGATGATGATGATGAGCTGTGTACGGTGGAATGGACATGCATATGTCACGTCTGAGTGCCACCTACTTGACCAGTCCACGTGATCATGTCATGTTAGTTTGGATATGACTGTGACAGAGAGGCGGGATAAGACGAGAATACCGGTCCTGTGTTGGACATGGGGATAATAAGGAATGGAACATCTTGCATGTATGTCTCGGATGGTCCTGATAAGTTGGAGGACAGTTGTCCCTCTCTGTGCTGTCTGGGAACGCGCGTCCTGACCCGTGGACTGACAGGAAGTTAAGAACAGACAATGTTCGCACTGTCATGCAGCCAGGCATATAGTTCAGGGTCAGTAGTGGCGGGGCAGCCCTTCTTCAGAACAATTACAGGGAATAGAGAATTGTATATCGTTGCAGAACATCTAGTTAATGCTCCTATTTTGTTGAAGATCCAATCGTTTAAAATTTATCGTACACGTTTACTTTGACATGCCTTTGTTTGTGTGTGTGTGTGTGTTTCTGTGTGTGTGAGAGACTGTGTGTGTGTGTGTGTGTGTGTCTGTATGTGTTTGTATGTGTGTCTGTGTTTGTGTGTCTGTATGTATGTGTCCGTGTATGTATGTTCATGCCTGTTTGTGTGTGTGTCTGTGTGTGTGTGTGTCTGTGTCTGTGTGTGGAGTGGGGAGGGAGTTATTTGCTTCGTGGTATAGTGAACTGGGTCACTGTTAGATATGCCCATCAGCTAACAAGACAGGTGAAGTAACAGGGAAGGCGACACGATCAGTTAATATAACTTTACATATCCAACGCAGTGCCGGATTTTTTATAGAATACAGTTTTATTTGAAAAATCATGAAAATACAAGTTGGGGACAAGTGATACTTGTACAAATATTTACCACCCCCCCCCCCCAAAAAAAAAAAAGAAAAGACAAAAAAGTTAACTACGGCCTTGCAACGACATGTGGCCTGTTTGCAGAGTTACCTGGTGGGGGACTTAAAACGTTCATCTCATCAGACACATGCTTAACCTCAACCACAGTCAAAACAAGTTAATTCATTGATATTAAGAGTTTTCATCAGGAGCAGGGAGAGTGATGTCGTCAGATGTAAGGTCAGTGACGTCGTCACATTTACGGAGAGTGATTGCGGACACCAAACTATATGTGAAAACTGTTAGCGTTCAAGACACCAAACTCATTGTTGTTACATGTCGATTCCCAAATTGAAACAATATGTTAATCCAGAAATCTGTACGTAAAAGTGAGTGAGAGGGTTGTGTTTAACGCCGCTTTTAACAGTATTCCAGTTATATCACGGTGTGTCAGCTTAATGTGGGAGTGATGCATGTCTCAGACGTTTACCACTTCGGTGAAACCCACGAGCACGGGTATGCTGACAAACCTAGAAACATAATCGGGGCGAACCGGGATTCGAACCCACAATCATTGGTTTCTGGCGTGCCCAAGGGAAGCAACTCTGCACAGCGAACTGTACGTAAAAAAACTTAGTGTGAAATCAACAAACAACCAACAAGTGGTACACAATCAACATATCTATTACAAAACTCACTTTGTTTACAAATCAGCACACACTGCAGCACAGCATTTATAATGGCAGTAAACAACAGAGTGGAAGTACAATATTCAATGGCAATGAATAATATAATGGCAGTGGACAGTATCAAATACAGGAATATGGTGGTGATAGCAAAAGTCAGTGATAATAATAGATATATTCACCCAGCGGCGACAGTGGTCAAACTTCTGAGATGGGCTAGGCAGGGAATCGGGAATACTGAGCGATCCTTACATGAAGGTGATGAAAATGCGTATGTGTCCCGCAAACATGCCACTGCCCCCTTATTTACAACCCACAAGACAAAACATTACAGAAATGTCCATATGTTTCTATAACATACTCTCACCGTCCGCGGTACACGGGCCGGAAGTGTACACACCACACTAGTATCAGAACAGTGAAAATAGCATCATCATAAAGAATTTATGTATAATAAAAGACCATACGTGAGATCCAGCGACGTAAGGAGGTGTTAATTGACATTTACAGATACCGCTGGGGATTAGGGTCCTGCCCGGAGGGGGCATATGCTTAGAGGGGATACGCTGAATGTTTGACTTAAACATTAAACAGGAAAAGGAGATAGAATTTCTGTGCACTTTGGAAGCATATTGAAACAAATAGTTATTTTGGATAATGAAGTTTATAAAGAAACCTATTGAAGTGGTTTGCACTATAACAATACCCCTGAAAGTCATGGAGCTTTTGTCCTCAAATGCTTTTTAAAAATGGTGACAATATTGAAAGTACAAGTATACAGTAAAATGCATTTGTCCTATCCCAAATATCAGTTTTTGCCTCAGATTGATTAGGATTTTCACATACTCACCTACATCATCACAAAATAGAAACAAGTGACACAAGCCCCATTTGTAGAAGCAAAACGCACCTATCAGGGCAGATTGTTCCAGGTGCATGAAATGTAAGAAGCCAATATCATTTAGCCCAGTTCTTCTGAATGGCACTCTCCCGTTGCCATGGTTAAAAAACGGGATAGCTCTTACCGCCTTGACGTAGATTATAGACGCCTCAATGCAGCTACCAAACTTATATATTTTCCCCTCTGTCAGCATTGAAGATGCCGTATATAGTCGACAGCCATGCCAACATTTCGAATGTCCTTGATTGTGCTAGTGGCTTTTTGCAATACCACTCCATCCAAATACAAAACACAAGTTGGCCTTCATTACAAAGATGTTTTTAAATGGAATCGCCTCCCTTTCGGTCTCAAAAATGCTCCTATGGCGTTCTAGCAAACCATTTCAAACACTAACAGAAATGAATTGACTTTGTATATGTAGATGACATTTTAATCACCTCAAGGCAGTATACCAAAAGATACAAGAAGCAGAACTTTTAAGTCGCCTACATATAATGCATGTATTCAGCAAATATGGCATCCATGTCGATCCTTTAAAGATAGATTCAGTCGAACAGATCCCACCCCCTACAAATGTCTATGACATACGTCATTTCTTAGGTTTGGTCTCGCATTACCGTATATTTGTAGCAAACATTGTTGGCATACTGTCGCTCATGGTCATGCCTCTCTGTCAAAGATGATGGCTTTGCTCACGAAATGCTCTGTATTGATGAGGATGGCCATATTATGGTCGAGACTTTTTATTGAGGCTGAAATATTTTTATTCAAGCAGATGGAGTTTTTTTATTTACAAAAAAATATGAGCTGTTTTTTTTTCTTTTCAAAGGGTTTGTCATGTCATACCTTATTATCAAAACAATATGTCAACAATCAGAATCAAATATCAACAAAGGTATTGTTTTCTTACTCCTCTGCCGTCTGTGTGTCAGCTGCTATATGTATGTTGAACAGGTCAGGAACGCGGAGTATGAAGTTTGACGACGTGTTGGCGTTACTGGGGGAGTTCGGGCCGTACCAAAAGCGACTGTACTTCCTGGTGTGTCTGACAGGGATCTGTGTCGCCTTCCAGACGCTAGCATCTGTCTTCACCCTCACCGTGCCCCCTCACAGGTGAGCTCGACATTTATATCGATCCTCACCACCCCGTCACAGGTGAGATCCACCCTCATATCGATCCTCACCAACCCGTCACAGGTGAGTTCCACCCTCGTGTCGATCCTCACCAACCCGTCAAAGGTGAGTTCCATCCTCATGTAGATCCTCAACACCCCATCACAGTTGAGTTCCACCCTCATGCCGATCCTCACCACCCCATCACAGGTGAGTTCCACCCTCATGCCGATCCTCACCACCCCGTCACAGGTGAGTTCAACCCTCATGTCGATCCCCACCACCCCATCACAGGTGAGTTCCACCCTCATGTCGATCCTCACCACCCCGTCAAAGGTGAGTTCCGTCCTCATGTCGATCTTCACCACCCTGTCACAGGTGAGGTACACCCTCATGTCGATCCTCAACACCCCCGTCACAGGAGAGATCCACCCTCATGTCGATCCTCACTACCCCGTCAAAGGTGAGTTCCACCCTCATGTCGATCCTCAACACCCCATCACAGGCATGTTCCACCCTCATGCAGATCCTCACCATCCCATCACAGGTGAGTTCAACCCTCATGTCGATCCTCACCACCCCGTCACAGGTGAGTTCCACCCTCATGTCGATCCTCAACACCCAATCACAGGCGAGTTCCACCGTCATGCCGATCCTCACCACCCCGTCACAGGCGAGTCCCACCCTCATGTCGATCCTCACCACCCCCTCACAGGTGAGTTCCACCCTCATGGCGATCCCCACCACCCCATCACAGGTGAGTTCCACCCTCATGTCGATCCTCACCACCACATCACAGGTGGGTTCCACCCTCATGCCGATCCTCACCACCCCATCACAGGTGAGTTCCACCCTCATGCAGATCCTCACCACCCCGTCACAGGTGAGTTCAACCCTCATGTCGATCCTCACCACCCCCATCACAGGTGAGTTCCACCCTCATGTCGATCCTCAACACCCCATCACAGGTGAGTTCCACCCTCATGTCGATCCTCAACACCCAATCACAGGCGAGTCCCACCCTCATGTCGATCCCCACCACCCCGTCGCAGGTGAGTTCCACCCTCAGTCGATCCTCAACACCCAATCACAGGAGAGTTCCACCGTCATGCCGATCCTCACCACCCCGTCACAGGTGTGCTCCACCCTCATGTCGATCCTCACCACCCCCTCACAGGTGAGTTCCACCCTCATGTCGATCCCCACCACCCCATCACAGGTGAGTTCCACCCTCATGTCGATCCTCACCACCACATCACAGGCGAGTTCCACCCTCATGCCGATCCTCACCACCCCGTCACAGGTGAGTTCCACCCTCATGTCGATCCTCACCACCCCGTCACAGGTGAGTTCCTCCCTCATGCAGATCCTCACCACCCCGTCACAGGTGAGTTCCACCCCCTTGTCGATCCTCACCACCCCGTCAAAGGTGAGTTCCACCCTCATGTCGATCCTCAACACCCCGTCACAGGTGAGTTCAACCCTCATGTCGATTCTCACCACCCCGTCAAAGGTGAGTTCCACTCTCATGTCGATCCTCACCACCCCATCAAAGGTGAGTTCTATCCTCACCATCATCACCCACAAGTTGGCTGGCTTCACACTCACCCTCAACCCGACAGGTAAAGCTCGCCACCCACCCTTTCACAAGTGACGCTTGTCACCGTATCCCTCCTTAAATGTATGCATGTTAACTTGTCTTGTGCTTATTCCACCTTAAGATGACTGACAATTCTACGACAGATGTAAGATCCCCGGCTACGACAACGACACATACGCCGTGCAGAATGGCTACCACCACGAACTCGTGAACCTCACCATTCCCGTCTCCGATGGCAAGTACTCAAAGTGTGAAGTCTACACAAACGGGGACTCCACAATTTTATCAAGGGGAGACAACTTCACAAAGCGCGAGTGTGACAGCTGGGTGTATGACAGATCGACCTTTGTTTCCACCATCGCCACAGATGTGAGTCAGTATATCACGACACTACTTTACAGTCACTGATGTGAGTCAGTATATCACGACACTACTTTACAGTCACTGATGTGAGTCAGTATATCACGACACTACTTTACAGTCACAGATGTGAGTCAGTATATCACGGCACTACTTTACAGTCACTGATGTGAGTCAGTATATCACGACACTACTTTACAGTCACAGATGTGAGTCAGTATATCACGACACTACTTTACAGTCACAGATGTGAGTCAAATGCCCCGGGAAGATCTGGGTTAGAATAGGTCTTCAGCAACCCATGCTTGTCGTAAGAAGCGACTGACGGGATCGGGTGGTTAGGCTCGCTTACTTGGTTGATGCATGGCATCGTATCCCAATTGCGTGGATCGATACTCATGATGTCAATCACTGGATTGTCTGGTCCAAACTCGATTATTTACAGACCGCCGTCATATAGCTGGAATATTGCTGAGTGCGCCGTTAAACAACAAACAAATCAATAGGTCATAACAAGAATGTGATTCCTTAGGACATAACAGTACTCTACCGCTTCAGATATGAGTCAATAGCACATATCTACAGCCACAGATATGAGTCTACAGAATGGAATTTATTTGCTGAGGTCGCTATGTACAAGTGGGCTCTGAACAGTACGCCAACGCTATCGAATCCCTTGAAATGTAGAAGCTTCAAATGAACACACACCTCAGAATGAAAAACACAAAAGGGACATTTTGAAATTAATTTGCCAGTTTTCAAATTGTTTGACCAACATCGTGACCTCCCCCTCCCCAGCTGGACATCGTGTGCGGCGACAGATTGGTGCGGACCTTGTCCAACTCCCTAGTGCTGGCGGGCAAGCTAGTCGGCTCCACCCTGCAGTGCTTCATCAGCGACATGTGAGTACATGCCGACCGTGTCTCAGTGCTTGGGGGATAGACAGGGTAACAACAAGTACCATCTTACAACGTCTTTTGATATGACGCAGCCGGGGTTCTAACCCCGGACCGTCCGCTCTTCGGGCGGACGCTCTACCACTAGACCACGGAGGCGGTCCACTAAGGTCGATAACTGACATAAGTGCTGTGTTTTGTGTTGCAGATTCGGTCGTAAAAAGTCGTTCTTCATGTTCCTCTTCCTGATGATACTTACCGGCTTCGCCAACTACTTCCCCTTCAACTTCACCTCGTTGATGATCTTCCGCTTTCTTGCCGGGCTCACCACGACATCGACGTTCCTGGGAGCCTTTGTTATAGGTAGGATAGTCCACGACATCTACGTTCCTGTAGCCTTTGTTATAGGTAGGACAGACCACGACATCCACGTTCCTGAGAGCCTTTGTTATAGGCAGGACAGACCACGACATCTACGTTCCTGTAGCCTTTGTTATAGGTAGGACAGACCACGACATCCACGATCCTTAGATCCTTTGGTATAGGTAGGACAGACCACGACATCTACGTTCCTGAGAGCCTTTGTTATAGGTAGGATAGACCACGACATCCACGTTCCTTAGATCCTTTGTTATAGGTAGGACAGACCACGACATAAAGTATGTGTGTGCGTCAGCTAGGATTGGGGGAAACGTAAGACCCACGCACTGTGAGGTACATGTCTGTGAACACGAGAAGCTTCCGTTGGTTGTGATGAAGTCAAGATGCTGCTGATTGTGAAGACAGGATCTCGATACTGCTTAAAGTGACTTATCGGGAATCCTGATGTAAGATACAGCGTAGATAACCCCTTGCTCTATGGCTACAGGTGTGGAGTTTGTGGGTCCGTCCAAGCGTGTGTGGACCGGCCTGGTGATCGAGCTGTTCTGGGTGCTGGGGATGGTCATCATGGCGGGCCTCGCCTACTTCCTCCGGGACTGGCATCACCTGGTTCTCGCCCTGGCCTCGCCCGCTGTCCTCTTCCTCAGCTACTGGTGGTCAGTATCCAGTACCACAAGTCCAGGATGGGATAGTACTCTCCCAGGATCACACGGGATAGTACTCTCCCAGGATCACACGGGATAGTGCTCTCCCAGGATCACACGGGATAGTACTCTCCCAGGATCACACGGGATAGTACTCTCCCAGGATCACACGGGATAGTACTCTCCATGGATCACACGGGATAGTACTCTCCCAGGATCACAACACATCACTAAATACGTCCACTTGCACAAAGCGATGTCAGCGCCCAGACGATCGTATCTCCTATATCTTAACAAATACGATAGTCGTAGCGCTGAGATCGATGTCCAACTACGTGACAGAACTTAACAATGTAGTCTAACTACCAATACATAATAGCATGCTGCAGTAAAGGGGTATGCTTCGCCGAGGAATATTATATAATACCGTAGTCTGCCGCTCATCTGTTGCAGTCTGTCACTATGATGCTGTGTGTGTTGTGCAGGCTCATACCGGAGTCTCCCCGCTGGTTGATGTGAAAAGGCCGGTTGAAGGAAGCCGAAAACATCATACGAAAGGTCGCCAAGGTCAATAAGGTCACGCTCCCGGAAATGTTGTTTGACGAAAAAACAATGGCGGCGGACAATGAACCGAAAGGGAAGCTGAAGGAGATGTTCACCAACAAAACTCTGGCAGTGCGGTCCTTGATCCTCTTCTACATCTGGTAGGTATGCTGGACTAAGGGGGTGCTTGATCTTCTACATCTGGTAAGTATGCTGGACTAAGGGGGTGCTTGATCTTCTACATCTGGTAAGTATGCATGACCAAGGGGATGTTCGATCTTCTACATCTGGTAAGTATGCTGGACTAAGGGGATGCTTGATCTTCTACATCTGGTAGGTATGCTGGACCAAGGGGGTGCTTGATCTTCTACATCTGGTAGGTATGCTGGACTAAGGGGGTGCTTGATCTTCTACATCTGGTAAGTATGCTGGACTAAGGGGGTGCTCTATCTTCAACATCTGGTAAGTATGCTGGACTAAGTGGATGCCTGATCTTCTACATCTGGTAGGTATGCTGGACCAAGGGGGTGCTTGATCTTCTACATCTGGTAGGTATGCTGGACCAAGGGGATGCTTGATCTTCTACATCTGGTAAGTATGCTGGACTAAGGGGGTGCTTGATCTTCTACATCTGGTAAGTATGCTGGACTAAGGGGATGCTTGATCTACTACACCTGGTAAGTATGCATGACCAAGGGGATGCTCGATCTTCTACATCTGGTAGGTATGCTGGACTAAGGGGGTGCTTGATCTTCTACATCTGGTAAGTATGCTGGACTAAGGGGATGCTTGATCTACTACACCTGGTAAGTATGCATGACCATGGGGATGCTTGATCTTCTACATCTGGTAGGTATGCTGGACTAAGGGGGTGCTTGATCTTCTACATCTGGTAAGTATGCTGGACTAAGGGGATGCTTGATCTACTACACCTTGTAAGTATGCATGACCAAGGGGATGCTCGATCTTCTACATCTGGTAGGTATGCTGGACTAAGGGGGTGCTTGATCTTCTACATCTGGTAAGTATGCTGGACTAAGGGGTGCTTGATCTTCTACATCTGGTAAGTATGCTGGACTAAGGGGATGCTTGATCTACTACACCTGGTAAGTATGCATGACCAAGGGGATGTTCGATCTTCTACATCTGGTAGGTATGCTGGACTAAGGGGGTGCTTGATCTTCTACATCTGGTAGGTATGCTGGACCAAGGGGGTGCTTGATCTTCTACATCTGGTAGGTATGCTGGACCAAGGGGGTGCTTGATCTTCTACATCTGGTAAGTATGCTGGACTAAGGGGATGCTTGATCTACTACACCTGGTAAGTACGCATGACCAAGGGGATGCTCGATCTTCTACATCTGGTAGGTATGCTGGACCAAGGGGGTGCTTGATCTTCTACATCTGGTAGGTATGCTGGACTAAGGGGGTGCTTGATCTTCTACATCTGGTAAGTATGCTGGACTAAGGGGATGCTTGATCTACTACACCTGGTAAGTATGCATGACCAAGGGGATGCTCGATCTTCTACATCTGGTAGGTATGCTGGACTAAGGGGGTGCTTGATCTTCTACATCTGGTAAGTATGCTGGACTAAGGGGTGCTTGATCTTCTACATCTGGTAAGTATGCTGGACTAAGGTGATGCTTGATCTACTACACCTGGTTAGTATGCATGACCAAGGGGATGTTCGATCTTCTACATCTGGTAGGTATGCTGGACCAAGGGGGTGCTTGATCTTCTACATCTGGTAGGTATGCTGGACCAAGGGGGTGCTTGATCTTCTACATCTGGTAGGTATGCTGGACTAAGGAGGTGCTTGATCTTCTACATCTGGTAAGTATGCTGGACTAAGGGGATGCTTGATCTACTACACCTGGTAAGTATGCATGACCAAGGGGATGTTCGATCTTCTACATCTGGTAGGTATGCTGGACCAAGGGGGTGCTTGATCTTCTACATCTGGTAGGTATGCTGGACTAAGGGGGTGCTTGATCTTCTACATCTGGTAAGTATGCATGACCATGGGGATGCTTGATCTTCTACATCTGGTAAGTATGCTGGACCAAGGGGGTGCTTGATCTTCTACATCTGGTAAGTATGCTGGACTAAGGGGGTGCTTGATCTTCTACATCTGGTAAGTATGCATGACCATGGGGATGCTTGATCTTCTACATCTGGTAAGTATGCTGGACCAAGGGGGTGCTTGATCTTCTACATCTGGTAGGTATGCTGGACTAAGGGGGTGCTTGATCTTCTACATCTGGTAAGTATGCATGACCATGGGGATGCTTGATCTTCTACATCTGGTAAATATGCTGGACCAAGGGGGTGCTTGATCTTCTACATCTGGTAGGTATGCTGGACCAAGGGGATGTTCGATCTTCTACATCTGGTAGGTATGCTGGACTAAGGGGATGCTTGATCTTCTACATCTGGTAAGTATGCTGGACTAAGGGGGTGCTTGATCTTCTACATCTGGTAGGTATGCTGGACCAAGGGGGTGCTTGATCTTCTACATCTGGTAGGTATGCTGGACCAAGGGGATGCTTGATCTTCTACATCTGGTAGGTATGCTGGACTAAGGGGATGCTTGATCTACTACATCTGGTAAGTATGCATGACCAAGGGGGTGCTTGATCTTCTACATCTGGTAAGTATGCTGGACTACGGGGACGCTGCACTCGGGGCTGTTAACATGATCAAACAAATAAGGTAAAACAAAGAACTAAAGTTTTTCCACATTAGAAACACGTGACGTGAGAAGATGCTCATATTCCTCTAATATTAAACATGTTCAGCTTGATTGATCAGTGTATCCCACAAGATACTTCATGCTCTGGTTAGGACGAAATGTGGACGCTGACATCCATGTCGGATGTCGATTTCGTTGCGCGATTTTGATTGGACCGTGCAAAGACTTGTTAGTCCAGCCAAAATATAGCTCCATAATTCCAGCCTAGTTCGGAAGGGTGGAAATTGGACTTTTATAGTCAGTTACACACTTGCCTCGGGAAGATGTTATTAACACTGCTCCTCTACTCTCCATCTCTATCTCTAGGATGGTGTCGAGTCTGGTGTACTACGGCCTCACCCTGAACGTCTCCAACCTCAGCGGCAATATCTACGTCAACTTCGTGCTGTCGGCGCTGGTGGAGGCGGTGGGGTACGTCCTGGCTATCTTCCTACTGGACCGGGTGGGGCGCCGGATGGTGCTGTGCGCCCTGATGACCCTGGGGGGCGTGGCATGTGTGCTCACCGTGTTCCCTGCTGTCTACGCCGGCGGAAGTAGGTACACCGGGGTCGAACACTATGCATATGCATACTGTGTTGTGCATAAACTGGGAAACACCAGTAGGCGATGTCCACCGAGGACATCTGACAAACATGGGGTAGTGTAGTTACGGGTTGATCGCACCTCCCCGAGGCAAGGGCGTTGACTGACTCTAAAAGTCCAGTTTCCACCCTTGCCGAGCTAGGGGGATATTCCTGAGTTACATTTTGGCTGGACTAATGAGTCTATGCATAGTCCCATCAAAGTCGCGTAACGATCTAGACATCCGGTTCGTAAGCAACATGGATTTCAACGTGCAGATTTCGGTCGACTGCAGGATTTGCAAAGCATGTGTACCGCCAATTGGGTGTCGACAGATATTTTGCAAATCTTTTCATGTTTTAGTCAAAGCGCTGAAGTGACCTGATGCACTTCGCTAGGTAAGACCCTTTTTTATCATAATATAGATCTGTTTGAAGCAAACGCAAGTGATGTGAGAGATGGAATCTGACTTCAATATGACCAATAACTAGTATTCGTCACTGGTGGCGCTAAAATTGAGCGTGGAAATTCCAGCTCAGTTCGGCAAGGGTGGAAACTGGACTTTGATAGGTTGATCGAAGCAATGACGGGGTTGACAAATCATGTCCTAGAGAAAAAGGAAGTGAAATAGATACCCATGGTGTATTTTGAAAAATGTGTGTCCATTAATACTTAATGTTAGAAGCTTAAAAACTGGTCGTGGTTAGTGTGAGAAGTATGGCTGTGGTAAGAGGGTAGGGTCTATCACAGATCATTGTTGGCATTTGACAGGATTTATCACAGATCATTCAATTTGCATCAGGCTAGAGCGCGAGTGCAAAATCGGCACTCCCGGAAGCGCTCGTTAAATCTCCATCATCATCATCATCATCGTCGTCGTCGTCGTCGTCATCATCATCATCATCATCATCAGGCATCAAGTGGTGTATAGATGTCCGTCAGCAGTATACCAATCACATATATGAATGATATACGGCAGTCTACCGTCACAGCTTTCCCGACGTTTCGTTCCTGCCTTACAATGAAGTAATAGATATTTGTCTGACATGCGTCATCTTTGTTTCAGCGGCAGACTGGTCACTGATGATGTTGTCGTTGGTGGGAAAGATGGGGTCGTCAGGGGCGTTCGGCGTCATCTACATCTTCACCGCCGAGTTGTACCCCACGCCTCTTAGAAACATCGGTCTTGGGGTCAACCTGACGTTCTCCAGGATAGGCGGAGTTATCTCCCCTTTCATTTCTGATTTGGTGAGTTTGTCAGGACATGCATCAGTGAGATGTTGTCTTCTTTGTCATTGTCATTGTATGTAGTGCATTGATAATTGATTCTGAAGTCTTTGGGGACTTTTCCTAAAACTCATCTTAAAGAGGGTCCATGTCAGTCTGGTTCCCAATTCTAGATCGAGATCTAGATTTGTGTGGGACTGGGTCACTGTATCTGTCTGGAGAAGGTTGGTTGTGAATAGATGGAAACGAACTTGCTGGGATTGTGAAATTATCATGGAATTCTTACACACGCATTATGTGTTGGTCCATCTATTCCTGTCTGTTGTAGGGTATACTAGTTGGAGGTACATTTGGCGAGCAAGCTCTTCCTCTGGTGGTATTTGGTGTTACCGCCGTTCTTGCTGGGGGGCTGGCCCTCGCTCTTCCGGAAACTCTGAACCGGAAACTACCGGAAACAATCGAAGATGCCAAAGCTATCGGGCAAGTTATAATTTCCCTCATGAAAAAATATCTCCCAATAGTGAGTGAGTATGGTTTTACGCCGATTTTAAGAATATTGCACCAATATCACGGCGGGTGACACCAGAAATGGGCTTCACACATTTCGGGGCTTCGGCGTGACGAGCGAACGCTTTAACCAGTGGGCTACCCGACCGCCCCTTATTTCCCAATATGACAAACTGATTGTCTATTATAAAAGTCCGGTATACATTGCATCTACAGATCTTTGGTGCAGGTACATTATTGGAGAGCATTGTCTGGTTGCCATATTGCATTACCAGTACGTTGGTGCATATATATGATTTCACAGTATTGTCTGGTTGCAATACTTCATGTACATTACATTGGTGCATGTACCTGATTTGATGGTTGCAATATTGCATTCCCAGTACATTGGTGCATATACATGATTGACAGCATTGTCTGGTTGCATTATCGCGTGCGTGGTGGTGCATGCAGGGCAAGTGAGATACGTCTATCACTGGAAGTAGTTGTGGGAACACCCCTGTAATGCATGTGATGAGAACTGTGTTACTGTAACTCGACGTGTCCTCGGCAGGTCCGACACAAAGCACAAGTACAAGATGAGGACAGAGGACCAGGCCGAGAGCGTCTTCTCAGTGGCCTTCACGAACAGGGAATAGTCAGACCACGTGACATCGTGACCTTCACCCAGCACCACGTCTCCCGTGTCCTACGAATGACCCCATGTTGCCCATGTGTCGTGTCTGTGCTGTAATATATTATATTCATGCGGTGATAATGTTGAACGAATAAACTCGAATACTGTTGGAATTTAAATATTAATGTACTTGTTTGCATGTAAATGTGGATGGCCTTGTCAGCTGGTTTGTCTTATCTTGTGTCCCGGAGCTTTAGTTGACTGCATGGATGCTGAACCCCGGCTCGTCTCTTTCCGCGACTAATCACATGACTGGAGGGTGACCCGTCGGTGACGTCAGACTCACCTCTGTCAAAGTGAGTGAGTTGGGTTTAACGCCGCTTTTAACAGTATTCCAGTTACATCACGGCGGGTCAGCTTAATGTGGGAGGAAAGCCCGAAGTGATGCAGGTCTTAGACGTTTACCACTTCAGTGAAACCCACGAGCACAGGTATGGTGCTGACAAACCTAGAAACATAATCGGGGCGAACCGGGATTCGAACCCACAATCATAGGTTTCTGGCGTGCCCAAGGGACGCAACTCTGCACAGCGAATCGCGGCGCCTTAGACGACTGGGCCACCCGTGCCCCCGACCTCTGTCAAAGCTGTGGAAGGTTTTCAGTCAGACCAATATCTTCTATTGCTAACTGGAAACCATTCACAATAGCAAATTCAAGTAGCATGTTGTAAATATCAATTTTGCCTGCTCACTCGATAAAATAAACAACTATTTGACAGGAAGAGCCAAGTTTTCTCTAATTACTGAGTATTCAGTGATGTAACGGTTTATGTATCTGAAAGCATGAACACTCTCCACCAGAACTTTCTGCCCCGATGAGAAAATCAGTTTCAGAGTGAGAGCATGAACATCGGCCAGAAAGCACATGGAAACAGAAAATTATTTTATTGGCACAAGTAATATTTTCACGTGTAAATTATTCAGGTCGCGAGGTGACTTGACTGCAGTATTGTGTTAAGACAGATCGATGTCATCATAACTCACGTCAGTAGACTTAGAACGAGACATGTCAGCTTCAGGTTGCTGACGTCATGCAGTGTGATGCAGGTGTGATCTGACTTGGTTCATGCATGTCATCGATCCCGATTCCGTGGATCGATGCTCATGATATCAATCACTTGATTGTCTGGTCCAGACTCGATTATTTACAGACCGACGTCATATAGCTGGAATAGTGCTGAGTGCAGCGTTAAACAACAAACAAATCAGATGAGATGCAGAGCAAACTAAGGATCATACGGTCCTGACGTGTCTAAGGGAGGCAACTGGTTTTCAATTGGTTTATGGATGCTTCACTGGAAACGCTTGGTCGGTGGACGAACTGAACCAACATTAATCCCACTACTCAGTGTTTTGTATGTAAGAATATATGGATGGAAGGAGGAGCATCCCTTCAATTTGTATATTGAAAAGTAACAGGAATGTTAAACAGCCATAACGTTCACATGAGACACGAGCCACACAGCTTGGGGCACCAGTGTGGCTATACGTTCACACGAGACTCGAGCCACACAGCTTGGAGCACCGGTGTGGCTATACGTTCACACGAGACCCGAGCCACACAGCTTGGAGCACCAGTTTGGCTATACGTTCACATGAGAATCGAGCCACACAGCTTGGAGCACCAGTGTGGCTGTACTTTCACATGAGACTCGAGCCACACAGCTTGGAGCACCAGTGTGGCTATACGTTCACACGAGACTCGAGCCACACAGCTTGGAGCACCAGTGTGGCTGTACGTTCACATGAGAATCGAGCCACACAGCTTGGAGCACCAGTGTGGCTGTACGTTCACATGAGACTCGAGCCACACAGCTTGGAGCACCAGTGTGGCTATACGTTCACACGAGACTCGAGCCACACATGGAAGGGAACGTTCTGAATGGGGCACTGACTGCATTAAGATTTTTATGAAATCCCATATCGCTGTTTGACGGTGCTGGACGAATTAAAGAATCTGACCTTCAAATATTACTGTACAGGGATGCCAGACATAGTTTGGTGTTACTTTGAAAGGTATTTTAGTTTTATCAACCTGTCAACTTCATGTGGGAGAAAAGCTCGAAGAGATGCAGGTTTCAGACATTTACCACTTTGGTGAAACCCATGAGCACAGGTGTGGTGCTGACAAACCTAGAAACATAATCAGGGCGAACCGGGATTCAAACCCACAATCATGAGTTGAAGAACTGGCATGTCAAGCATTAAACCCAGCAATCTGGCATGTCAAGCATTGAACCCAGCAATCTGCCATGACAAGCATTGAACCCAGCAATCTAGCATGTCAAGCATTAAACCCAGCAATCTGGCATGACAAGCATTAAACCAAGCAATCTGGCATGACAAGCATTGAACCCAGCAATCTGGCATGACAAGCATTAAACCCAGCAATCTGGCATGTCAAGCATTAAACCAAGCAATCTGGCATGACAAGTAGGCTACCCTGAAATGGGAAAAAACACACCTGCAGACAAACAACAGACTACAGACATTACCCCCTGTATTTATTGTTGGCATTTATCACTGATATCAACAAGTTCATATGTATTTACAAAGATCAGTCTGAATGTACAACAGTTTCATGGAATAAATACACAAATGAATGTACATAGCACTGCCGCATGAGACCTGCTGTGTTAGTGAGTGAGTGAGTGAGTGAATGACAGCCCTGAGAGATAGACACCTTGTCAGGAGAAGGAAACCATGGTAACAAGAGATAACATCTTTCACAATACTGCAGAAACTACTCCAGTGGTAGAGTCCCTGGATGGAGTGGACACTGACGGTGGTTGATATATGGTGTGGACGCTGCTAGTACCTGTATGGTGTGGACGCTGACAGTCATTGCTGGACGCTGCTAGTACCTGTATGGTGTGGACGCTGCTAGTACCTGTATGGTGTGGATGCTGCTAGTACCTGTATGGTGTGGACGCTGACAGTCATTGCTGATGGAAGTCTAGGAGAGGTTGTTGTGTGTACATTCTGTCATGCAGCCTTAGACAACAACATGGGATTATCCGAATTGATCCTATTTCAATCAGTATTGCATCGTTGTTCAGGCCCAAACATGAATTGATGAATTTACAGAATTTGCTGAAATATGACTTGGCACACACAAATACTTAACAATAGGGTTTTCACTGCATAGAAAAGGAACTGTTGTTGTATTGATAATATTTTCAATGACAAATTCCTGACATCAAAACATGTGCTACATCATAAATAGCTATTGCCGACCTTGAGATTACCATCAGTGTATACTGGGAGCAGACAGTAATGGCTTGACAAGGCTGCATCTGTGGGATGTGGTCAAGTATGCTTCAGGTAGACATAGTGATCCTTAGCTTATGAAGATCAGTACATATCTAACATTTGGGAAAATTATACATGTAACAGTGAACTTGCTATTCTCTCAGGTTCAACCTTGTTCACTGATAGAGCAATGGCGTTCTTTATGAAAGGACAGAAGTACTGCAATACAAGTATCTTCCATCACCTGTCAGTGCCATATGGTCCATGTCTCACCACAACACCTCTTGTGTGTTAACCTTATCAAGATAGGATCATATACATAATATACATGATATACGAGAAATGCTCATGTAGATAACAGTTCTTTTGCTATATATCTGAGCATATATTTCACCAAAACATGTTACTTATACCTTTTCTTATTTCATTTATATTTTCTTGTATATTTATAGTTGTGTTCTGCTAGAATATCGACACTGGTTCCATGTGACTGTTTCCAGCTGACAAGGACACTGGTTCCAGGTGACAGGGACACTGGTTGCATGTTACAGACACTAATTCTGTGTAACAGAGATTCTGGTTCCAAGTGACAGGGACACTGGTTCCGGGTGACAGGGACACTGGTTCCGAGTGAAAGGGACACTGGTTCCAGGTGACAGGGACACTGGTTCCAGGTGAAAGGGACACTGGTTCCGAGTGAAAGGGACACTGGTTCCAGGTGACAGGGACACTGGTTCCAGGTGAAAGGGACAATGGTTGCATGTTACAGACACTAATTCTGTGTAACAGAGATTCTGGTTCCAAGTGACAGGGACACTGGTTCCAAGTGACAGGGACACTGGTTCTGAGTGACGGGAACACTGGTTCTGAGTGACGGGAACACTGGTTCTTAGTGACGGGAACACTGGTTCTGTGCTACACTGGTTCTGAGTGACAGCAAAACTTGTTCTGCTTGACAGGGACTCTGGTTCCGGGTGACAGGGACACTGGTTCCAGGTGACAGGGACACTGGTTCCAGGAGACTGGGACACTGGTTCCAGGTGACAGGGACACTGGTTCCAGGTGACAGGGACACTGGTTCCAGGTGACAGGGACACTGGTTCCAGGTGACAGGGACACTGGTTCCAGGTGACAGAGGCACTGGTTCCAAGAGACCTTACATACAGGAACACTGGTTACCATATGTTTGTAAGACCCTTGTTCCATGTGACATTGACACAAAGAATGTATCTTGTAGCTAGCCACCATGGTCAGAAACACTAGAAATAAGAACATGTTACTTGGCTTGTGTTACTTGTAGTACTCGTGACCTGGTCAAGCTCAGTGCCTTTCAGGGGGCTTCTTTCACTTGGCAAAAGAATCATGTAAAGAAAGACACTTGGCATTAGGTTTGTTGTACATGCTTAAGTATGGAATGTACTTTAAAGAAAGAATGAAATAGGAATAATATATCAATTCTTCCCTAAGTCAACCACAGTCCTCAAAGTCATCCTCCTAGCCACACATCAAATAGTTCATTCTCTATGAAATTCCATCAAAATCTAATTAGCAATTTACTAAACTTTGGAATTAAAAAAGAACTAAGGAAATATCCAATCATAAAGAGTTACTAAAATAAAATTTTGGTCTGAATCCTACTTCAGCATCTCCTGACAACACATCACATTCACAAGAGATTCTTCAGCTCTCTGCCTGTCTTCCTTGGTATTTCAGTATATTCTCTAGTAGAAGACTAGAAAAGTCTTTACCTTCCCACTAGCTCCCTGGGTATTTCAGTATATTCTCTAGTAGAAGACTAGAAAAGTCTGTACCTTTCCACTAGCTCCCTGGGTATTTCTGTATATTCATTCATAGAAGTGTAGAAAAGTCTGTACCTTTCAACTAGCTCCCAGGGCATTCCAGTATATTCTCTTCTAGAAGAGTAGAAAAGTCTGTGCCTTCCCTGGGTATTTCAGTATATTCTCTCATAGAAGAGTAGATAAGCCTGTGCCCTCTGCACTGTGGCCTCCTGCACCTCGCTGACCCGACTGTCACTCACGTGGTACCACTTGCCCGGGGGCACCAGACTCTCCAGCGTCTCATCACTCAGGTCCTCCTCCGTGGGTGACCGCGGCCCGTTCAGCATGCGGTGAGCGTACTGGTGCACGTAGTCCTTAGGGGTTGGGACCTGAGAGTTCAGATAGTTGGTCAGTGCTGCTAACGATGGTCGGACTTTGACGTAGGCGGTGTAGTGACCGCCGGACAAGCGGCCGCTGTGTTCTACCACTCCGTACAGGGCATACAGGATCTTCTTCTGACCTGGCCGGATGCCCTGAAACACCCAAGACATGCTGTAATCCATGGAGTGAGTGAGTGAGTGAGTGAGTGAGTGAGTGTTATGTTACACCGTTTTAAGCATTATTCCAGCGATATCACGTCGGGGGACACCAGAAATGGGATTCAAATATTGTGCCCATGTGGGGATTGAACCTGGCGCTTCAGTGTGACGAGTGAACACTTTATCCACTTGGCTACCCCACCGCCCCGCCTCATGGAACTAGTGTCCTTCAAGCATGGGATAAGTACATCCCAGGTATAGTGTTTTCGTGAATTGATATACTCAGCCTTTCAAATAGTTCTGGTAAACAATTTACACTCTTATTTTCTAAATGTTTGTTTACTTTGCCCTTAGTCAGTCCTCCAGGTAAACACACAATGTTCTAATAATTCTCATGTACTGATATTGTGGTAATGCTGAGAAGCAATCAAGACATAGTCTCACGTGTACAGTCACTAGCCTGCAACCTACACAACACACTCAACTTTCAAGAATACTTGTGATGTGATGCATTATCTTCCCCCTTGTGTGAATTGTTACCTGACAGAGGGCGCTGCAGTAGGGGGCCAGGTCAAACACAAACGGGAAGTCCACATGGCGGTTTACTTTCCGTGATGTGAAACCCACCTGAAATACATGAATTTCTGTCAATTATCTGCTGTTGCCTCCAAGCTAAGTCACTGTATGAGATCAAACATGAAGCTGACTGATTCACAATTCTATCATGTCTATGTCAACAGTACAACAAACACACACTGACGGGAAGCAACAAGTGAACGCCTCATGTGTCATGGTAGTGGAACGGAGGAACACTTGCTACTCTGTCTACCATGTCTTTTATAAAAACACTTCATTTGAACAAAATAAGGCAGACAATGAAATGTTAGGAACTAACATGTAAATTGCCCTACAATCTCCAGTTATCTCGGGGGTATATACATCAATCTCCAGTTATCTCTGGAGTAGATACAACAATCTCCAGTTATCTCCGGGGTACATACTTCAATCTCTAGTTATCTTGGGGGAACATACAACAATCTCCAGTTATCTCGGGGTACATACAATAATCTCCAGTTATCTCAGAGGTACATACAACAATCTCCAGTTATCTCGGGGTACATACAATAATCTCCAGTTATCTCAGGGGTACATACAACAATCTCCAGTTATCTTGGGGGTACATACAACAATCTCCAGTTATCTCAGGGGTACATACAACAATCTCCAGTTATCTCAGGGGTACATACAACAATCTCCAGTTATCTTGGGGGTACATACAACAATCTCCAGTTATCTCAGGGGTACATACAACAATCTCCAGTTATCTCAGGGGTACATACAACAATCTCCAGTTATCTTGGGGGTACATACAACAATCTCCAGTTATCTCAGGGGTACATACAACAATCTCCAGTTATCTTGGGGGTACATACAATAATCTCCAGTTATCTTGGGGGTACATACAACAATCTCCAGTTATCTCGGGGTACATACAATAATCTCCAGTTATCTCCTGGGTACATACAACAATCTCCAGTTATCTCAGGGGTACATACAACAATCTCCAGTTATCTCAGGGGTACATACAACAATCTCCAGTTATCTCGGGGTACATACAACAATCTCCAGTTATCTCAGGGGTACATACAACAATCTCCAGTTATCTTGGGGGTACATACAACAATCTCCAGTTATCTCGGGGTACATACAATAATCTCCAGTTATCTCCTGGGTACATACAACAATCTCCAGTTATCTCGGGGTACATACAACAATCTCCAGTTATCTTGGGGGTACATACAACAATCTCCAGTTATCTCAGGGGTACATACAACAATCTCCAGTTATCTTGGGGGTACATACAACAATCTCCAGTTATCTCAGGGGTACATACAACAATCTCCAGTTATCTTGGGGGTACATACAACAATCTCCAGTTATCTTGGGGGTACATACAACAATCTCCAGTTATCTCAGGGGTACATACAACAATCTCCAGTTATCTTGGGGGTACATACAATAATCTCCAGTTATCTTGGGGGTACATACAACAATCTCCAGTTATCTCGGGGTACATACAATAATCTCCAGTTATCTCCTGGGTACATACAACAATCTCCAGTTATCTCGGGGTACATACAACAATCTCCAGTTATCTCAGGGGTACATACAACAATCTCCAGTTATCTCGGGGTACATACAACAATCTCCAGTTATCTCAGGGGTACATACAACAATCTCCAGTTATCTTGGGGGTACATACAACAATCTCCAGTTATCTCGGGGTACATACAATAATCTCCAGTTATCTCCTGGGTACATACAACAATCTCCAGTTATCTCAGGGGTACATACAACAATCTCCAGTTATCTCAGGGTACATACAATAATCTCCAGTTATCTCAGGGGTACATACAACAATCTCCAGTTATCTTGGGGGTACATACAACAATCTCCAGTTATCTCGGGGTACATACAATAATCTCCAGTTATCTCCTGGGTACATACAACAATCTCCAGTTATCTCAGGGGTACATACAACAATCTCCAGTTATCTCAGGGGTACATACAATAATCTCCAGTTATCTCCTGGGTACAAACAACAATCTCCAGTTATCTCGGGGTACATACAACAATCTCCAGTTATCTCCTGGGTACATACAACAATCTCCAGTTATCTCGGGGTACATACAACAATCTCCAGTTATCTCGGGGTACATACAACAATCTCCAGTTATCTCGGGGTACATACAACAATCTCCAGTTATCTCGGGGTACATACAATAATCGCCCTCTATCTCAACATGTTGCAAAATTTCCCTGTCTTCCATTCCCTCAGTATGTACTGGAACCTATCTGAAAAGGCTGTGGTGTGATGCCTTGCAAGTTCCAAAGTAAAGGTTTAGTGATAGTGAACTATTTTACTTTGCATCAGATTTACAAGAACTCCTCTCCTATATGTAGAAGACTCAGTCTTTAACAGTAGTGGACTGGGTCACCAACCTGCTCGAAGCGCTTGAGATGCAGCGTGAGCACTGACGGCGGCAGGAAGATGTGATACTGCTTGCTGGCGTTGGAGTAAACTGTCTCCGACGTCTTCTTATCTGCTGATGAAAACGTAACGTAAACATGAGCATTTCGAGATAAATGTACTGTTATTATATTAACCTGACACCACACAGTGCTTTAGCTTTGCTTCCCTACCTTTACAGACAGACAGTACTGGAACAGACAGACAGCTGAAACAGACTGCAGCCTGTGCACATTCTCTCCTATTCTATGTAGTGTCAGGTTAGGTAAAACATGACAATCAATCAAGACTGATGATTGATCTATACCCTGAATCAATACAATGATAGGGTGACAATCATCATGTTTATCTAAAATATTCAACCTTTTTTTGGTTTTCATGTTTAACATGTTCAAGGAACGAGATTTTTAAAATTTCATTTTTCTTTTTACCTTCCAGAAACAAGTGAGTGAGTGAGTGAGTGAATATGGTTTTACGCCGCTTTTAGCAATTATTCCAGCAATATCACGGCGGGGGACACCAGAAATGGGCTTCACACATTGTACCCATGTCGGGAATCGAACCCGGGTCTTCGGCGTGACGAGCGAACGCTTTAACCACTAGGCTACCCGACCGCCCCTCCAGAAACAAGAAGATATCAGCACCCAACCAAGAGGATTATGATCAATAATTGAAATGTGGGAACCAATGAAAAGGGCTACATGTTGGAACCAATTACTGATGAATAAATACCAACACAAAAACCAGTATCAAAGTACTTGTCAGAAGCCTTGACCATGCTGATAAACAGTTCCGCAATTCTATTTGTGACAGACTCTGAACAAGTAACAGTGGTCGGGACAGCGAGATGAGTCGGGACAAGATCTGCATGACATGTCTGGTGGGCTGTGAAGGTGATAGAATCTTATAGTAATAAAGCACTGTACCTTTCTGCTGAGATATGGTCTTGTTGCGTTTTGTCTTGGTGCATTGCTTACAGCCAAACTTGTTGGAGCCAGTGAGCAGCTCGGCGGAGGTGAACTGATGGAGACAGGACATGATAGAGCACTCTTTGGGAGCCGGGTGGTAGCGAGGAGCAAGGGAATTCATGGACTTGTACTGGGCCTGCTTCCTCAGCTCCACCTTGTGCTTGGCCTGGTTCGGTGACAGGCGGTCACTGGTCAGCCCGTTGGTCAGGATTTCTTCTGTGGAGGGCATTGACGTACACTCTGTCAGGTCCCGCGGGGACTGACAGTACAACGTGTCCTCACTCTCGCCCTTCAGAGTCAGCTGACTATCACACTCCTCCGGGCTGACTTGGCCAGTGTCATCCAGTGCACTGAACGCTGCCGCACCGCTGCCTTCCGTCTCGGGTGCTTTGACCCCCTCAGACTCCGCACCAACACCGTTTATCACAGACTTCTCAACTTCCCCATTCATAGTTATCACAGTATTACCATTCAGTAGAATATCAGTGTTTTGGCTTGCTTGCTCCACTGCTCCCCTGTTGTGCTGACATCTGGCACAGTACTGACCCACCTCCTTGCACTGCGGAGACGGTCCAACACGGCCAGCAGAGTTCACATCAACACACATATCTTTGGCATCACATTCTTCAGTCTCGGACTGATCGGCAAAAGTCAAGCCACTCAAGTCATTACCTAAACTAGACACATCTGTTTTGACTGCTGCTATAGATGTTCCACATTCCCCAACACTGCTAGCCATCCCCTGACTGTGGGACTTGATGTCCCCGTTCCCAGTACACACTCCGCCAGACACGTGGAGATCGGGGGAGATTTCTTCCGCTGCTATATGTCCCAGTCGTACATCAGTGTCCACACTTACAGGCTGACCAGGAGTCTGTGTATCCGTCCTTCTACCTGACACGGTTTCCCTCTGCGCTCCATCACTGTCTACAGTGTCCTCAGTCAACCCTACATCTCTCCCCCCCTCCTGCTGGGCGTGCATCAGTCGGGACGTGTCACTCTCCAGGTTGTCCTCAATGTCAGCATCTGAAAAAACATGTATTTTTTAATTCCACAAACGTGACTGCCAACACTCCAAGGAGACAGCCCTGACATCCACCATGTATCAATGACTACCATATCTACTGCTGAGTTTCATACATCCACCATGTATCAATGACTACCATATCTACTGCTGAGTTTCATACAGCCACCATGTATCAATGACTACCATATCTACTGCTGAGTTTCCTACAGCCACCATGTATCAATGACTACCATATCTACTGCTGAGTTTCATACATCCACCATGTATCAATGACTACCATATCTACTGCTGAGTTTCATACATCCACCATGTATCAATGACTACCATATCTACTGCTGAGTTTCCTACATCCATCATGTATCAATGACTACCATATCTACTGCTGAGTTTCCTACATCAACCATGTATCAATGACTACCATATCTACTGCTGAGTTTCATACATCCACCATGTATCAATGACTACCATATCTACTGCTGAGTTTCATACATCCACCATGTATCAATGACTACCATATCTACTGCTGAGTTTCATACAGCCACCATGTATCAATGACTACCATATCTACTGCTGAGTTTCATACATCCACCATGTATCAATGACTACCATATCTACTGCTGAGTTTCCTACATCCACCATGTATCAATGACTACCATATCTACTGCTGAATTTCATACATCCACCATGTATCAATGACTACCATATCTACTGCTGAGTTTCATACATCCACCATGTATCAATGACTACCATATCTACTGTTGAGTTTCCTACAGCCACCATGTATCAATGACTACTATATCTACTGCTGAGTTTCCTACATCCACCATGTATCAATGACTACCATATCTACTGCTGAGTTTCATACAGCCACCATGTATCAATGACTACCATATCTACTGCTGAGTTTCATACATCCACCATGTATCAATGACTACCATATCTACTGCTGAGTTTCATACATCCACCATGTATCAATGACTACCATATCTACTGCTGAGTTTCATACAGCCACCATGTATCAATGACTACCATATCTACTGCTGAGTTTCATACAGCCACCATGTATCAATGACTGCCATATCTACTGCTGAGTTACATACATCCACCATGTATCAATGACTGCCATATCTACTGCTGAGTTACATACAGCCACCATGTATCAATGACTACCATATCTACTGTTGAGTTTCATACATCCACCATGTATCAATGACTACCATATCTACTGCTGAGTTTCATACAGCCACCATGTATCAATGACTACCATATCTACTGCTGAGTTTCATACAGCCACCATGTATCAATGACTACCATATCTACTGCTGAGTTTCATACAGCCACCATGTATCAATGACTACCATATCTACTGCTGAGTTACATACATCCACCATGTATCAATGACTACCATATCTACTGCTGAGTTTCATACAGCCACCATGTATCAATGACTGCCATATCTACTGCTGAGTTACATACAGCCACCATGTATCAATGACTACCATATCTACTGCTGAGTTTCATACAGCCACCATGTATCAATGACTGCCATATCTACTGCTGAGTTTCATACATCCACCATGTATCAATGACTACCATGTCTACTGCTGAGTTTCATACATCCACCATGTATCAATGACTACCATATCTACTGCTGAGTTTCATACATCCACCATGTATCAATGACTACCATATCTACTGCTGAGTTTCATACAGCCACCATGTATCAATGACTACCATATCTACTGCTGAGTTTCATACAGCCACCATGTATCAATGACTGCCATATCTACTGCTGAGTTACATACATCCACCATGTATCAATGACTACCATATCTACTGCTGAGTTTCATACAGCCACCATGTATCAATGACTGCCATATCTACTGCTGAGTTACATACAGCCACCATGTATCAATGACTACCATATCTACTGCTGAGTTTCATACAGCCACCATGTATCAATGACTGCCATATCTACTGCTGAGTTTCATACATCCACCATGTATCAATGACTACCATGTCTACTGCTGAGTTTCATACATCCACCATGTATCAATGACTACCATATCTACTGCTGAGTTTCATACATCCACCATGTATCAATGACTACCATATCTACTGCTGAGTTTCATACAGCCACCATGTATCAATGACTACCATATCTACTGTTGAGTTTCCTACATCCACCATGTATCAATGACTACCATATCTACTGCTGAGTTTCATACATCCACCATGTATCAATGACTACCATATCTACTGCTGAGTTTCATACATCCACCATGTATCAATGACTACCATATCTACTGCTGAGTTTCATACATCCACCATGTATCAATGACTACCATATCTACTGCTGAGTTTCATACATCCACCATGTATCAATGACTACCATATCTACTGCTGAGTTTCATACAGCCACCATGTATCAATGACTACCATATCTACTGTTGAATTTCATACAGCCACCATGTATCAATGACTACCATATCTACTGCTGAGTTTCATACATCCACCATGTATCAATGACTACCATATCTACTGCTGAGTTTCATACATCCACCATGTATCAATGACTACCATATCTACTGCTGAGTTTCATACAGCCATCATGTATCAATGACTACCATATCTACTGCTGAGTTTCATACAGCCACCATGTATCAATGACTACCATATCTACTGCTGAGTTTCCTACAGCCACCATGTATCAATGACTACCATATCTACTGCTGAGTTTCCTACAGCCACCATGTATCAATGACTACCATATCTACTGCTGAGTTTCCTACATCCACCATGTATCAATGACTACCATATCTACTGTTGAGTTTCATACAGCCACCATGTATCAATGACTACCATATCTACTGCTGAGTTTCATACATCCACCATGTATCAATGACTACCATATCTACTGCTGAGTTTCATACATCCACCATGTATCAATGACTACCATATCTACTGCTGAGTTTCATACAGCCACCATGTATCAATGACTACCATATCTACTGTTGAGTTTCATACATCCACCATGTATCAATGACTACCATATCTACTGCTGAGTTTCATACAGCCACCATGTATCAATGACTACCATATCTACTGCTGAGTTTCATACAGCCACCATGTATCAATGACTACCATATCTACTGCTGAGTTTCATACAGCCACCATGTATCAATGACTACCATATCTACTGCTGAGTTACATACATCCACCATGTATCAATGACTACCATATCTACTGCTGAGTTTCATACAGCCACCATGTATCAATGACTGCCATATCTACTGCTGAGTTACATACAGCCACCATGTATCAATGACTACCATATCTACTGCTGAGTTTCATACAGCCACCATGTATCAATGACTGCCATATCTACTGCTGAGTTTCATACATCCACCATGTATCAATGACTACCATGTCTACTGCTGAGTTTCATACATCCACCATGTATCAATGACTACCATATCTACTGCTGAGTTTCATACATCCACCATGTATCAATGACTACCATATCTACTGCTGAGTTTCATACAGCCACCATGTATCAATGACTACCATATCTACTGCTGAGTTTCATACAGCCACCATGTATCAATGACTGCCATATCTACTGCTGAGTTACATACATCCACCATGTATCAATGACTACCATATCTACTGCTGAGTTTCATACAGCCACCATGTATCAATGACTGCCATATCTACTGCTGAGTTACATACAGCCACCATGTATCAATGACTACCATATCTACTGCTGAGTTTCATACAGCCACCATGTATCAATGACTGCCATATCTACTGCTGAGTTTCATACATCCACCATGTATCAATGACTACCATGTCTACTGCTGAGTTTCATACATCCACCATGTATCAATGACTACCATATCTACTGCTGAGTTTCATACATCCACCATGTATCAATGACTACCATATCTACTGCTGAGTTTCATACAGCCACCATGTATCAATGACTACCATATCTACTGTTGAGTTTCCTACATCCACCATGTATCAATGACTACCATATCTACTGCTGAGTTTCATACATCCACCATGTATCAATGACTACCATATCTACTGCTGAGTTTCATACATCCACCATGTATCAATGACTACCATATCTACTGCTGAGTTTCATACATCCACCATGTATCAATGACTACCATATCTACTGCTGAGTTTCATACATCCACCATGTATCAATGACTACCATATCTACTGCTGAGTTTCATACAGCCACCATGTATCAATGACTACCATATCTACTGTTGAATTTCATACAGCCACCATGTATCAATGACTACCATATCTACTGCTGAGTTTCATACATCCACCATGTATCAATGACTACCATATCTACTGCTGAGTTTCATACATCCACCATGTATCAATGACTACCATATCTACTGCTGAGTTTCATACAGCCATCATGTATCAATGACTACCATATCTACTGCTGAGTTTCATACAGCCACCATGTATCAATGACTACCATATCTACTGCTGAGTTTCCTACAGCCACCATGTATCAATGACTACCATATCTACTGCTGAGTTTCCTACAGCCACCATGTATCAATGACTACCATATCTACTGCTGAGTTTCCTACATCCACCATGTATCAATGACTACCATATCTACTGTTGAGTTTCATACAGCCACCATGTATCAATGACTACCATATCTACTGCTGAGTTTCATACATCCACCATGTATCAATGACTACCATATCTACTGCTGAGTTTCATACATCCACCATGTATCAATGACTACCATATCTACTGCTGAGTTTCATACAGCCACCATGTATCAATGACTACCATATCTACTGCTGAGTTTCATACATCCACCATGTATCAATGACTACCATATCTACTGCTGAGTTTCATACATCCACCATGTATCAATGACTACCATATCTACTGCTGAGTTTCATACATCCACCATGTATCAATGACTACCATATCTACTGCTGAGTTTCAT